CATGTCTCAATTGTCTCAAGGCTTAAAAATCCTTCTTTAACCTGCCTCTTCCCCTTCATCTACACTGGTTGAAGTGGATTTAACAGGTGATATCAATAAGGGATCATAGCTTTCACCTAGATTCATCTGGTCAGTCTATGTCATGGAAAGAGCAGGTGTTCCTAATGTTTTGTACACTGTGTGTATATATAATAGTGTGTATAGACAGTATGGACAGTATATGAATAGAAAAGGTGTGTACAGCAGTAGTTATATAGGATGAGCCATGACTAGAATACAGTATATACATATAAAGTGTGTAAAACAGTATGTAAATATTACTAAAGTGACCAGTGTTCAATGACTATGTACTGTACATAGGGCAGCAGTCTCTAAGGTGCAAGGTAGAGTACCGGGTGGTAGCCGGCTAGTAACAGTGACTAAAGTTCAGGGCAGGGTACTGGGCAGAGGCCGGCTAGTGGTGACTGTTTAACAGTATGATGGCCTGGAGATATAAACGGTTTATCAGTCTCTTGGTCCCAGCTTTGATTCACCTGTACTGTCTCCACCTTCTAGATGGTAGCGGGGTGATAAGGCCATGGTTCGGGTGGCTGAGGTCCATGATGATCTTCTTGGCTTTCCTGTGACACCGGGTGCTGTAGATGTCCAGGAGGGCAGGCAGTGTGCCCCAGGTGATGCGTTGGGCTTTCCGCACCACCCTCTGGAGAGCCCTGCGGTTGTGGGCGTTGCAATTGCCGTACCAGGCGTTGATACAGTCCGACAGGATGCTCTCAATGGTGCATCTATAAAAGTTAGCTTAGGGGCTAAGCCGAACCTCTTCAGCCTCCTGAGGTTGAAGAGGCGCTGTTGTGCCGTCTTCACCACACTGTCTGTGTGAAGCGACCACTTCAGTTAATCAGAGATGTGCACGCCGAGGAACTTGAAGCTTTTGCCTTCACTGCGGCCCCGGCGATGTGAATGGGGGTGTGTTCTCTCTGCTGTCTCCTGTATTCCACGATCAGCTCCTTCGTTTTGTTGACGTTGCGGGAGAGGTTATTTTCCTGGCACTACTGCGCCAGGGCTCTCACCTCCTCCCTGTAGGCTGTCTTGTCGTTGTTGGTAATCAGGCCTACCACTGTTGTGTCATCAGCAAACTTGATGATTGAGTTGGAGACGTGTGTGGCCACGCAGTCATGGGTGAATGAAGTACAGGAGGGGGCTGAGCACGCACCCCTGTGGAGTCCAGGTTGCATAGGGAGGGGTTCAGACCCAGGGCCCTGAGCTTAGTGATGAGCTTGGAGGGCACTATGTTGTCCATTTTCTAAATCTCTGTGTAGTGAGTAGGCTAGTGTTCCTGTTTGAAAATAAATGTTGTTTATGTTTATGAGATTCATTCTAATAATATCAAGCTGGTGGGAAACTGGTGGGAAAAGTCCCTCAGGTTTTAAAATGTCAAAACTAGTCTTAGAAACCATAACAAAACAATACTAAATTGTATTAAAAACTATATATAATATTATATATACAGTATCTCACAAAAGTGAGTACACCCCTCACATTTTTGTAAATATTTGAGTATATATTTTCATGTGACAACACTGAAGAAATGACACTTTGCTACAATGTAAAGTAGTGAGTGTACAGCTTGTACAACAGTGTAAATTTGCTGTCCCCTCAAAATAACTCAACACACAGCCATTAATGTCTAAACCGCTGGCAACAAAAGTGAGTACACCCCTGGGCCCAATTAGTGAGTACAAAATTGGGCCCAATTAGCCATTTTCCCTCCCCGGTGTCATGTGACTCGTTAGTGTTACAAGGTCTCAGGTGTGAATGGGGAGCAGGTGTGTTAAATTTGGTGTCATCGCTCTCACACTCCCTCATACTGGTCACTGGAAGTTCAACATGGCACCTCATGGCAAAGAACTCTCTGAGGATCTGAAAAAAAGAATTGTTGCTCTACATAAAGATGGCCTGGGCTATAAGAAGTTTGCCAAGACCCTGTAACTGAGCTGCAGCACAGTGGCCAAGACCATACAGCGTTTTAACAGGACAAGTTCCACTCAGAACAGGCCTCGCCATGGTTGACCAAAGTAGTTTAGTGCACGTGCTCACCGTCATATCCAGAGGTTGTCTTTGGGAAATAGACGTATGAGTGCTGCCAGCATTGCTGCAGAGGTTGAAGGGGTGGGGGGTCAGCCTGTCAGTGCTCAGACCATACGCCGCACACTGCATCAAATTGGTCTGCATGGCTGTCGTCCCAGAAGGAAGCCTCTTCTAAAGATGATGCACAAGAAAGCCCGCAAACAGTTTGCTGAAGACAAGCAGACTAAGGACATGGATTACTGGAACCATGTCCTGTGGTCTGATGAGACCAAGATAAACTTATTTGGTTCAGATGGTGTCAAGCGTGTGTGGCGTGTGTGGCGGCAACCAGGTGAGGAGTACAAAGACATGTGTGTCTTGCCTACAGTCAAGCATGGTGGTGGGAGTGTCATGGTCTGGGGCTGCATGAGTGCTGCCGGCACTGGGGAGCTACAGTTCATTGAGGGAACCATGAATGCCAACATGTACTGTGACATACTGAAGCAGAGCATGATCCCCTCCCTTCGGAGACTGGGCCGCAGGGCAGTATTCCAACATGATAATGACCCCAAACACACCTCCAAGACGACCACTGCCTTGCTAAAAAAGCTGAGGGTAAAGGTGATGGACTGACCAAGCATGTCTCCAGACCTAAACCCTATTGAGCATCTGTGGGGCATCCTCAAACGGAAGGTGGAGGAGTGCAAGGTCTCTAACATCCACCAGCTCCGTGATGTCGTCATGGAGGAGTGGAAGAGGACTCCAGTGGCAACCTGTGAAGCTCTGGTGAACTCCATGCCCAAGAGGGTTAAGGCAGTGCTGGAAAATGATGGTGGCCACACAAAATATTGACACTTTGGGCCCAATTTGGACATTTTCACTTAGGGGTGTACTCACTTTTGTTGCCGGCGGTTTAGACATTAAGTCGGAGTGAGGGTTTTGGATCAATGCTACTTGGGAAATCCGTTCAACGTCTTGAGGAAAATCTGGAATGTTTTGGAGGAAAGTGTGGAGTCGGTGAGAGTCACAAGAAGTGGTCATATTTAGATTTTTTGTGTGTGTGCCAAGCAGAAGAAACGTGTTTTAAGACTCAAAAATATATCGGAGTGGAATGTTTACTCTATGGATTTTCGTAGCCGGGCGCCTATCAAGGGGGTTATTTCTGGGGTGGAGCAAGAAATAAAGGCAGAGAATATTACTGAAGACATCAATGGAGTGGTTAGTGAATGTCGACTGACCTGTATGGTGGATGGAGAAAATAAATTAACTTAATCCATGCTACTGTTCTTTGATGAAGAGTCTCTCCCTTCTCATATAAAGTTAGGATTCATGAGCTTTTGTGCACAAGCCCCTTCAGTGTCATTAATGTAAAAGATTTGGTCATGTGTCAAGTGTGTGCAGAAGGGAAGAGTATCGAATGCCAGGTGAAGTGAAATGCTGCAACTGTGGAGGTGAACATGGGCCTGAATTCCTGGAGTGCCCTGTTAGGGTGAAGTAGAATGAGGTGGCAAGGGTAATGAGTGTCCAGCGTGTCTCTTATCTGGAGGCGTGAGAAGATTGGAAGGAACGAGTGGCGGGGAAGAAACAATGGTAGTAGAGCCACCACGACCAGTGAAGGGTTCTCATCAACTCAAATCAAATCAAATCAAGTCAAACCAAACAGTCTATGACTAGGGTGGCTGGAGTCTTTTACAATTTTGAGGGCCTTCCTCTGACACCGCTTGGTATAGAGGTCCTGGATGGCAGGAAGCTTGGCCCCAGTGATGTACTGGGCCGTACGCACTACCCTCTGTAGTGCCTTGCGGTCGGAGGCCGAGCAGTTGCCATACCAGGCGGTGATGCAACCAGTCAGGATGCTCTCGATGGTGCAGCTGTAGAACTTTTTGAGGATCTGAGGACCCATGCCAAATCTTTTCAGTCTCCTGAGGGGGAATAGGCTTTGTCGTGCCCTCTTCACGACTTTCTTGATGTGTTTGGACCATGATAGTTCGTTGGTGATATGGACACCAAGGAACTTGAAGCTCTCAACCTGTTCCACTACAGCCCCGTCAATGAGAATGGGGGCGTGCTCAGTCCTCTTTTTTTTTTCTGTAGTCCACAATCATCTCTTTTGTCTTGGTCACGTTGAGGGAGAGGTTGTTATCCTGGCACCACACGGCCAGGTCTCTGACCTCCTCCCTATAGGCTGTCTCATCGTTGTCGGTGATCAGACCTAACACTGTTGTGTCGTCAGCAAACTTAATGATGGTGTTGGAGTCATGCCTGGCCATGCAGTCATGGGTGAACAGGGAGTACAGGAGGGGACTGAGCATGCACCCCTGAGGGGCCCCCGTGTTGAGGATCAGCGTGGCAGATGTATTGTTACCTACCCTTACCCGTCAGGAAGTCCAGGATCCAGTTGCAGAGGGAGGTGTTTAGTCCCAGGATCCTTAGCTTAGTGATGAGCTTTGAGGGCACTATGGTGTTGAACTCTGAGCTGTAGTCAATGAATAGCATTCTCACTGAGGGATAGTGAAATGCTACATGTTAAAAAGGTGAACTTTGTAATATTTGTATTATTTATTGCAGTGGTCATAAACTGTACAGCACAAGCGGAGAAGACGTTTAAGAAAACTGGAATCATTGTGAACGTTTTGAGGTATTTTGTGATTTCACAGCTGAGGCCGTGCAATAATTCCTGTCAGTGAATGTACCACCATCACAGGCCTCTAAGCCTTTGTAGCGATGTATTTTGGAGTGGACTGTGACTGAAGAAGTGGGATGGGTTTTCTTAGTTGACGTGTTTGATTTTGTATGATGTCGTTTTCCCCTTTTCAGGCAATGGTTGTTAAGTTTCTTATTCAATACCCCGTCCAGCTGGTGACGGTAATGCACCATTAAAGTTGGATGCCAACTGCCGTTAAACCTCATCAAAGAAGAGATACGTCATCGCTGTGCGTCATTGTCACGAAAGGGGGGCTAGCAGATGCCTTTTCGAGACAACAATAGCCTGTTTTCGCTCAGGTGAGACCCTTTTCTTTTCACAAACACATATATTTTTACATTGGTTAATAGAGTAAATTGCCACGAATTGAGACGCTGTGAAATCTTTAATTGGTTCATATTTGCTAGCTAACTTTAGCTTAGTAGCTAGCTAACTTCTATAGCTAACGTTATCGTTAGCTAGCCAGCGTTATGGAAGTTGGCTAGCTACTGCTGTTTGACAGCCGTTTTTATTTATGGTTAGTTGTAATATGTTGGGTAAATACAGAATACAATATCTAACGTTTGTCGAATGTTTTGTTTAGCTTGTCAACGGTACCATGCTAGAGTTACATGGTTGATATGGAGAGCTTCTAGCTATGTCAGCTAGCCAGTGTGTAACATCATGCCATTGTTATCCAAGATAGCTAGCTGCATTCTTGTTAGTTTGCTAGCTAGCTGGTTAAATGGCCGGCCCGCTCATTAGGCAGGAGTAGAGGGCGTATTTTCTGAGTTAAACTGACCAAGAAGCATCTCCAACAACAACACATAAAACCCCACATAATTATGCCACAAAACAATGACAATTTCTCTCAACCAGTGGCATATTGTCTGTTTAGCTGAGCGCTGATGCCGTCCTCTGATAAGCAGTGCCCACTTTGTCAAAGGCAGGGCGCAAAATATTTTGGTTGTCCATTCCCAGCGCGCCTCTCCAGCGTGCTGATGGAGAGACTCATCTGAACCGCTCCACCAACGTTCAATCAAAAAAAATATTCCAACTTAAATCATGTAGCAAATATATGGTAAAAAGAGTATGTGGCATTTTCTATAGCCTACAGGCTGGAATGTATGACAATGTAATGTATGACATAAAATGTATGACAATGTAATGAGATGGACACTTTTTACATCATGCAGGTTTCTCTGATCAAATAGCCTAACCTAAATGGCGCTCAATCAAATAAAAAATGAGCTGTTATGTTAACAAACAACATATATCCTAAAAACAGGACAGGTAAATGTAAAATGGATAATATGGAAAGGGCAATCACAACTGTTGTCCAGGAGTTTCACCCCATTGTCATGATCAGTGGTTTCAAGTTTTTATCAGTCAATTTGACAAGCTGATCATAGCGAAAAAGAAAATACTTCTGCATTTCCCGCTGTGTAAAAACATTGCAAATAGGCTCGTGATAACTCCAACTGGCAAGTGTCTTCAGACTTTTTCAACCTCTCCCTAGCCGAGTCTGTAATACCTACATGTTTCAAGCAGACCACCATAGTCCCTGTACCCAAGAAAGTGAAGGCAACCTGCCTAAATGACTACCGCCCCGTAACACTCACGTCGGTAGCCATGAAGTGCTTTGAAAGGCTGGTCTGGCTCACATCAACACCATCATCCCAGAAACTCTAGACCCACTCCAATTCGCATACCGCCCCAACAGATCCACAGATGACGCAATCTCAATCGCACTCCACACGGCCCTTTCCTACCTGGACAAAAGGAACACCTATGTGAGAATGCTGTACATTGACTACAGCTCAGTGTTCCAACCCCATAGTGCCCACAAAGCTCATCACTAAGCTAAGGACCCTGGGACATCACTAAGCTAAGGACCCTGGGACATCACTAAGCTAAGGACCCTGGAACTAAACACCTCCCTCTGCAACTGGATCCTGGACTTCCTGACGGGCCGCCCCCAGGTGGTAAGGGTAGGCAACAACACATATGCCACGCTGATCCTCAACACGGGGGCCCCTCAGTGGTGCGTGCTTAGTCCCCTCCTGTACTCCCTGTTCACCCACGACTGCATGGCCTAGCACGACTCCAACACCATCATTAAGTTTGCTGAGGACACAACAGTGGTAGGCCTGATCACGACAACGATGAGACGGCCTATAGGGAGGAGGTCAGAGACCTGGCAGTGTGGTGCTAGGACAACAACCTCTCCCTCAACGTGAGCAAGACAAATGAGCTGAACGTGGACTACAGGAAAAGGATGGCCGAACACGCCCCCATTCACATCGACAGGGCTGTAGTGGAGCGGGTCGAGAGTTTCAAGTTCCTTGGTGTCCACATCACCAACAAACTATCATGGTCCAAACACACCAAGACAGGCGAAGAGGGCACGACAACACCTTTTCCCCCTCAGGAGACTGAAAAGATTTGACATGGGTCCCCAGATCCTCAAAGTTATACAGCTGCACCATCGAGAGCATCCTGACCGGTTGCATCACCGCCTGGTATGGCAACTGCTCGGCATCCGACTGTAAGGCGCTACAGAGGGTAGTGCATACGGCCCAGTACATCACTGGCGCCAAGCTTCCTACCATCCAGGACCTATATACTAGGCTGTGTCAGAGGAAGGAACAAAAAATGGTCACCGACTCCAGTCACCCAAGTCATAGACTGTTCTCTCTACTACTGCACGGCAAGCGGTACCGGAGCGCCAAGTCTAGGTCCAAAAGGCTCCTTAACAGCTTCTACCCCCAAGCCATAAGACTGCTGAATAATTAATCAAATGGCCACCCGGACTATTTACATTGAACCCCCACCCCCCTTTGTTTTTACACTGCTGCTACTCACTGTTTATCTATGCACTGTTTATCACTTTACCCCTACCTACATGTACAAATTACCTCGACTAACCTGTACCCCCCCCCGCACATTGACTCGGTACCGGTACCCCCTGTATATAGCCTCGGTATTGTTATTTTATTGTTATTTTTTATTTAGTAAATATTTTCTTAACTCAATTTCTTGAACTGCATTGTTGGTTAGGGTCTTGCGAGTAAACATTTCACGGTAACTGTTGTATTCTGCGCATGTGACAAATAAAATTTGATTTGATAAAGTTGGGTAGCTGATATTCAGAGCTTAAATAGCCAAATTGATTAGTCCCAGGAATCAGGACTATTAAAGCCAATGCAATGGCCTGTTTTACAAACGGGGGTCTACCACATGGATGGGCATTAATACAATTCCATTGCGGGCGACATGGTAGGCTACACCCTATGTCTTTTTTTGGTCCTGTCCGGACATAGTTTTTTTTGTTTTACATTTAAGTCATTTAGCAGACGCTCTTATCCAGAGCGACTTACAGTTAGTGAGTACATACATCATTTTTTTTTTATACTGGCCCCCCATGGGAATCGAACCCACAACCCTGGCATTGCAAACGCCATGCTCTACCAATTGAGCTACATCCCTGCCGGTCATTCCCTCCCCTACCCTGGACGACGCTGAGCCAATTGTGCGCCGCCCCATGGGTCTCCCGGTCGCGGCCGGCTACGACAGAGCCTGGATTCGAACCAGGATCTCTAGGGGCACAGCTAGCACTGCGATGCAGTGCCTTAGACCACTGCGCCACTCGGGAGTTTTACAAACGGTAGGCTTACCACAGATGGGCATTCATAAAATTCAATTTCAGGTAACACTGTAGGCTACACCTCAGTAAGCGCAGACCGACGCTGATGCCTTTTGTATGTATTTTTTTGGTGCAGTTCTGGACCTGCCTTGATCTCCACATCTACGGCCATAGATTTTTGGTCCAACCCAGACGTCTATGTTTGGTTCAGATTTTGTTCGGTCTGGACCAGCCTCAATTTGGCCCAAACATAGACGTCTATAAATTACTTATTTTCAACTTTCATTCAGAACAAAAATAATTGCTTGATTTCAACATCCGGAAAATACATATTTTCAACGTCTGTAAAATACGTATTTTCAACATCAGGAAAATAAGTATTTTCAGCTTTCATTCAGAACCGAAAATGAACCTGATTTCAACGTCCGGAAAATACGTATTTTTCAACTTCCTGGAAAATATGTATTTTAAACATACAGAAAATACCTTTTCACTTTTCATTACATTTACATTTTAGTCATTTAGCAGACGCTCTTATCCAGAGTGACTTAAGGAGGGTTAAGTGCCTTGCTCAAGGGCACATCGACAGATTTTTTTTACCTATTCGGCTCGGGGATTAGAACCAGCGACCTTTCGGTTACTGGCACAACGCTCCTAACCACTGTATATCTTTTGTATTTCCGGTATTTATTTTCAATACTGATGCAGTTCCCAGTGACAAACCCTTGCACAATATAGAAGAGCCTAACCGAACTACAAATAGTTCCAGCTGATTGCGAGGAAACGTGCTTAGGTTGACTACTTTCGGCAATTGTTTAGTTTATATATTGTGCATCACGTGCAATGCATCATATCTCCACCACCCACTTACTGCCAAAAGGACCAACAGCATGTACAACCGTTAGTGTAAATAGAATTTTATTCCACATTCTGCCTTGTAGAGACTATCTTTTTTACAGCGACTTCTTTCAGACTGATATTCATGGAGTAACCATGGTAACAGTCTGTTTAGGCAGCTAGCTAGCTATTTAATTTGCCAATGTTATTTTTGGGCCATGGCTCAATTCGTGGGTGAGTAAGCTTGCCACCTAGTTTGGTTTATGATAGAATGGCTATATGTATAGCTAGGTTGTTCGTCGAAAACATAATGTCAAAATAATACTTTAATTCTGTCAGCTGAGGAATAGGCCTAGTCTTAGGGATGCCGAAGAAGTTCCAGGGTGAGAACTCCAAGGCGGTCACTGCCAAGGCCCGCAAAGCAGAGGCCAAAGCAGTGGAAGACGCCCGCAAGAAGAAGGAGCTGGAGGATGCACTATGGCAGGAGAATGACAAACATGTCCTGAAGAAAGAACAGAGGAAGGTGAGACCTTTCGCACTCTGTTTCCTATTCTCACACAGGGTCAAATAGTCTGCAGCAGTATTACATTGGGCTATATCACGATCCAGTATCTTGCTATGTATGTACAGACACCAGACTCTAGAATCTACAAATTAATTCCCTGATATGTTGAAGTGGGTCTGATCATTTAGACTGACTTTAAATGTCCCCTCTCTGAACCTGCAGGATGACAAGGAGAAGAAGCGCCTTGAGGCCCTGGAGAGAAAGAAGGAGAACCAGCGGCTCTTAGATGAGGAGGCTGCAAAGATTAAGGGCAAGGCCAAGGAGGCGGCTGCTGCTGCTGTGGTGGCGGGCAAAGTGACCCGGGCCCAGATTGAGGAGACGCTGCGTGTCGAGCAGCAACTCCAACAGCAGGAGCAACCCAAAGAGAAAGGCAATGACCTCACCAATATACCTTCAATCATTAACCAGGCTCTCTTTCCTCTCCGGGTTCTGTTGTATTCTTATGGTCTCCCTCTCCTATGTTTGTGTCCACAGAGAAGAGTCACCTGGAGACGCCCCTGGAGGAGAATGTGAATCGCATCATCCCCGAGGAAGGTGCTGTGGATGCTAGAACCGTAGAGGATGCCATTGCCGTGCTCAGGTACAGAATACTGAATAGGCATAACCTCTCAATGTTGCTTTTGTAGGGGGTAACAGTGTTGAGATTACAGGAGAGAACTAGGGGAGCCTTTCCATTGGTGTACCATACCGTTATCAACAAAGTGGGTTTGTTGTGACCTACAATATACACATACAGTGCCTTCAGAAAGTATTCACAATCCTTGACTTTTTTCACATGTTGTTGTTACAGACTGAATTTAAAATGTATTAAATTGAGATTTTGTGTCACTGATCTACACACAATACCGCATAATGTCAAAGTGGAATTGTGTTTTTAGAAATGTTTAGAAATTAATTTTAAAATGTTGTAAGGTCCCTCAGTCGAGCAGTGAATTTCAAGCACAGATTCAACCACAAAGACCAGGGAGGTTTTCCAATGGTTCGCAAAAAAGGGCACCTATTGGTAGATGGGTAAAAATAAAATGCCGACATTGAATATCCCTTTGAGTATGGTGCAGTTATTAATTACACTTTGGATGGTGTATCAATACACCCCGTCACTACAAAGATACAGGCACCGTTCCTAACTCGGTTGCCGGAGAGGAAGGAAACCGCTCAGGGATTTCACCGAGGCCAATGGTGATTTTAAAACAGTTAGTTTAATGGCTGTGAGAGGAGATAACTGAGGATGAATCAACAACATTGTAGTTACGCCACAATTCAAATCTAAATGACAGAGTGAAAAGAAGGAAGCCTGTTCAGAATACAAAATATTCTAAAACATGTACTAAAGTAATACTGCAAAAAATGTGGCAAAGAAATGCACTTTTTGTCCTGAAAATAAAGTGTTATGTTTGGGGCAAATCCATATTTTGGTGGTGGCTGCATCATATTATGGGTATACTTGTCATCGGCAAAGACTAGGGAGTTTTTCAGGATAACAAATAAATGCAATAGAGCTAAGCACAGGCAAAATCCTAGAGGAAAATCTGGTGGTCTGCTTTCCTGGGAGACAAATTCACCTTTTCAGCAGGACAATAACCTAAAACACAAGGCCAAATATACACTGCAGTTGCTTACCAAGACAACATTGAATGTTCCTAAGTGGCCTAGTAACAGTTTTGACTTAAATTGGCTTGGAAATCTATGGCAAGACTTCAAATCAAATCAAATCAAATTTTATTGGTCACATGCGCCGAATACAACAGGTGCAGACATTGCAGTGAAATGCTTACTTACAGCCCTTAACCAACAGTGCATTTATTTTAAACAAAAAAAGTAAGAATAAAACAACAACAACAAAAAAGTGTTGAGAAAAAAAGAGCAGAAGTAAAATAAAGTGACAGTAGGGAGGCTATATATACAGTAAAATAAAGTGACAGTAGGGAGGCTATATATACAGGGGGGTACCGTTGCAGAGTCAATGTGCGGGGGCACCGGCTAGTTGAGGTAGTTGAGGTAATATGTACATGTGGGTAGAGTTAAAGTGACTATGCATAAATACTTAACAGAGTAGCAGCAGCGTAAAAAGGATGGGGTGGGGGGGCAGTGCAAATAGTCCGGGTAGCCATGATTAGCTGTTCAGGAGTCTTATGGCTTGGGGGTAGAAGCTGTTGAGAAGTCTTTTGGACCTAGACTTGGCACTCCGGTACCGCTTGCCGTGCGGTAGCAGAGAGAACAGTCTATGACTAGGGTGGCTGGAGTCTTTGACAATTTTGAGGGCCTTCCTCTGACACCGCCTGGTATAGAGGTCCTGGATGGCAGGGAGCTTTGCCCCAGTGATGTACTGGGCCGTACGCACTACCCTCTGTAGTGCCTTGCGGTCAGAGGCCAAGCAGTTGCCATACCAGGCGGTGATGCAACCAGTCAGACTTGAAAATGGCTGTCTAGCAATGATCAACAACCAACTTGACAGAGCTTGAATAATTTTTTTAAGAATATGAATCAATGTTTTACAATCCAGCTGTGCAAAGCTCTTAGCCAGAAAAACTCACAGCTGTAATCGCTGCCAAAGGTGATTCTAACATGTATTGACTTAGGGGGTTGAATACTTATCTAATTGTGATATACACTGTGTCCACAATTATTAGGCAAGTCAGTATTTTGACCATATCATCATTATTATGCATATTTCCCAACTCCAAGCTGTATAAACTGGAATGCTTATTGGATTTAAGCATATCAGGTGATGTGTATTTGTGTAATGAGGGAGGGTGTGGCCTAAGGAGATCAACACCCTATATCAAGGTGTGTATAATTATTAGGCAGCTTCTTTCCCTCAGACAAAATGGGCCAGAAAAGAGATTTAACTGACTCTGAAAAGTCAAAAATTTTAAAAAGTATTTGAGGGATGCAGCACTCTTGAAATTGCTAAGATATTGGGGCGTGATCACAGAACCATCAAACGTTTTGTTGCAAATAGTCAACAGGGTCGCAAGAACCATGTTGAGAAAAAAAGACGCAAATTAACTCTAAAGATTTTAGAAGAATCAAACGTGAAGCTACCAGGAACCCATTATCCTCCAGTGCTGTCATATTCCAGAACTGCAACCTAACCTGGAGTGCCCAGAAGTACAAGGTGTTCAGTGCTCAGAGACATGGCCAAGGTAAGGAAGGCTGAAACCCGACCACCACTGAACAAGACACATAAGTTGAAACGTCAAGACTGGGCCAAGAAATATCTGAAGACAGATTTTACAAAGGTTTTATGGACTGATGAGATGAGTGACTCTTGACGGACCAGATGGATGGGCCCGTGGCTGGATCAGTAACGGGCACGGAGCTCCACTTCAACTCAGACGCCAGCAAGGTGGAGGTGGGGTACTGGTATGGGCTGGTATTATTAAAGATGAGCTAGTTGAACCTTTTCGGGTTGAAGATGGACTCAAACTCAACTCCCAAACCTACTGCAAGTTTTTAGAAGACACTTTCTTCAAGCAGTGGTACAGGAAAAAGTCTGCATCTTTCAAGAAGACCATGATTTTTATGCAGGACAATGCTCCATTGCATGCATCAAAGTACTCCACTGCGTGGCTAGCCAGTAAAGGCCTTAAAGATGAAAGAATAATGACATGGCCCCCTTCCTCACCTGACCTAAACCCTATTGAGAACTTGTGGTCCCTTCTTAAACGGTCGATTTACGGTGAACTAAAAAATTACACCTCTCTGACCCGTGTCTGGGAGGCTGTGGTTGCTGCTGCACAAAAAGTTGATCGTCAACAGATCAAGAAACTGACAGACTCCATGGATGGAAGGCTCTCAGAATTGTCAAAGACTCCAGCCACCCTAGTCATAGACTGTTCTCTCTGCTACCGCACGGCAAGCGGTACCGGAGTGCCAAGTCTAGGTCCAAAAGACTTCTCAACAGCTTCTACCCCCCAAGCCATAAGACTCCTGAACAGCTAATCATGGCTACCCGGACTATTTGCACTGCCCCCCCCACCCCATCTTTTTACGCTGCTGCTACTCTGTTAATTATTTATGCATAGTCACTTTAACTCTACCCACATGTACATATTACCTCAACTAGCCGGTGCCCCCGCACATTGACTCTGCACCGGTACCCCCCTGTATATATAGCCTCCCTACTGTTATTTTATTTTACTTCTGCTCTTTTTTTCTCAACACTTTGTTGTTTTATTTTACTTTTTTATAAAAAATAAATGCACTGTTGATTAAGGGCTGTAAGTAAGCATTTCACTGTAATGTCTGCACCTGTTGTATTCGGCGCATGTGGCCAATAAAATTTGATTTGATATGACTGTTATTGAAAAGAAGGGTGGCTATATTGGTCACAGAAATGTTTATTTTAAAATGTTGAGTTTGTTTATTATTCTCACTTTAACAGATGAAAATAAACAAGTGAGATGGGGAACTTTTCGTTTTTCATTTAGTTGCATAATAATTCTGCACACTAATAGTTGCCCAATAATTGTGCACACATAGATATTCTCCAAAGAAAGCCAAAACCTCACTTTTACTTTATTAAATATTCAGGTTTGAGGTTTATTAACATTTTGGATTGACCGAGAGCACTGTAGTTGTTCAATAATAAAATTAATCCTCAAACATACAACTTGCCTAATAATTGTGCACACAGTGTATTAGTGTTTTATTTTCCATAAATTAGGAGAAGAAGAAACAGGTTAGATTTTTCTTCCACTTTGACATTTAGAGTATTTTGTGTGGATTGTTAATACATAAAAAAAATAAAAAAATTGAATCCATTTTAATCCCATTTTGTAACACAACCAAATGTGGAAAAAGTCAAGGGGTGTGAATACTTTCTGAAGGCACTGTATAACATCAGTTACTTTTCATACTCCAGGCTATATAAAAGAAGACAAAGCAGGCATGGCAGGTATCATAACAAGTATGAGGTTCCATAGGGTAGCTAAAGTGAGAGAGGTCAAGATGGCAAAGTTTCAACCCGCTCCTCTTGTTTGTTCTTTCCCAGCACGGCTGAAGAGCTCGACCGCCACCCCGAGCGCAGGGTGAAGGCAGCGTTCGCTGCATACGAGGAGCTGAACATGCCCCTCCTTAAAAAAGAGAACCCCAACATGCGGCTGTCGCAGCTCAAGCAACAGCTGAAAAAGGAATGGATGAAGTCGCCAGAGAACCCCCTGAACCAGCGCTTTGCCAACTACAACACAAAGTGAACCAACTCCAGCAGCTAATACAAAACTGTCTACTTATGCACATTGGACCTTACAATGGAAGATGCCCCAACCTATAATTATTCCCTCATTATGAATGTGTTGCTGGAAAAGCTGCACTCATTCCCTAGGAAGGACCTCCGATGCAAGGAATCACCTTAGGACTTCTGCTTGTTCATTCAGATTTGACAAGGAAAAGCCCCCCCCCCCAAACCAATGTTCCTGCTGATTTTATTTTACTGTGCATGCCCACTTATGAAGCATCTCAGCGGTTTATGGATTTTATTCCCACTATCAGTTTTTGGCACTTATGTTGAAAAGGGATTAAAGTAATTTATTTCAGTTCACAATACACTAACATATCCAATTGTTTCTGAGAATGAGACTACAGGTATGTGGTCTGCACTCTTGCCTATCGTAATCGCCTCCATTAACCTCTAATAATGATGATGATGATGATGATGATGAACCACATAAGAAAATATCATGACCAGAGCCAGTTGTGGACTTGTTGTAAGAACACTGGCTTGTTATAAACTCTGCCATTTTGAGCACCATTGGAAAGGACAACCCCTTTCCCTATGATAATGTGTCTTGTGGCACCTGTTCCCCATCCTAACAGGGCCTTATTAGGTGTACCTACTCAATACATCAATACTGTTGTTGCTAATCCTGGGATCATGCAATATTAGGTCTGAATCCTGCATCTGCTTTCAGGTTACATTTATACATTGAATTGTATGGAGATTGTTATTGCTTTTTTATAAGTTAAATTTGAAAAGACTACAAAAAGTTATTTAAAATCTCAAATTCATGTAAATCTAAATACCCCCCCAAAAAATTAAATGCAGGTTTACGTTACCCTTTTCTCACCTGTTTTCGAGAGATTTGTGTATGGAGTTTCTATGTAGAAAGGCCATCTCATTTATGGAAAGCATACAGCTCACCACATCTCGTCAATTGTGTTTTAGGAGCTGCAGGTAAGAAGTGTCTCTTAATACCCACCACTTCTGTATCAACAGCACAATCATTTAGCACAAATGAGTTTTTAAAATTCATTGCATTTTGATCTACACTCATTTCACCACTTACATAGACTTTCAGCCGTGTGCATGCCTTACATTAGTGGTTGTTTTCAGCCAGGTTTCCATCTGAAGAGGATACTGAAGGTTTTTAGCCGTGCTCTGATTCTCTGTCCTTCACCCCCAAGTGCAGACAGGCATTTACAGCACTGCTGGAGCTAGAAATAAGTAATCTGTGTACGCGACTAAACTTTGATTTGAAGTGCACACTTGTTCACTCCCTTTCATAGATTTAAAATTAATAGACTAGTGTAAGGAATACTTGCACCAATCCAGTGCTTTTACATCCATGGTGGAGTCAACAAGTGTACACTTACAGTAAAAAGGAAGGGAATTGGAATTCATCCATGTGACTCTTCATCTTTGGTTCCCAGTGGCTCCTGAATTTGACTCATGCTCTGACACTGGATGACACTCAGCAGACTACACTCACATCCTCTTCCATTTAATTAATTAATTGCTGATCTATAAGATATCTTATCAATTGTATATTTATAAGGTGGAATCGTCTGTTGGCATTTATACAAGAAAACAGTATTGTGTAGCCATGCATTTTACTCTGCTACAATACTGTTATAGATGCCAATACCATACAGGTGTAAGAAAATACTGTTACTGTGGAATATATATATTTATATAAACTCAGCAAATGGCAGAACACTGACATTCCTGTCTTGCAGGAAATCACGCACAGAATGAGCAGTATGGCTGGTGGCATTGTCATGCTGGAGGGTCATGTCAGGATGAGCCTGCAGGAAGGGTACCACATGAGGGAGGAGGATGTCTTCCCTGTAACGCACGGTGATGAGATTGGCTGCAATGACAACAAGCTCAGTCCGATGATGCTGTGACACACCGGCCCAGACCATGACGGACCCTCCACCTCCAAATCGATCCCGCTGCAGAGTACAGGCCTCGGTGTAACGCTCATTCCTTCGATGTTAAACGCGAAACCGACCATCACCCCTGGTGAGACAAAATCGCGACTCGTTAGTGAAGAGTACTTTTTGCCAGTCCTGTCTGGTCCAGCGACGGTGGGTTTGTGCCCATAGGCGACGTTGTTGCCGGTGATGTCTAGTGAGGACCTACCTTACAACAGGCCTACAAGCCCTCAGTCCAGCCTCTCTCAGCCTATTGCGGACAGTCTGAGCACTGATGGAGGGATTGTGCGTTCCTGGTGTAATTCGAGCAGTTGTTGTTGCCATCCTATACCTGTCCCGCAGGTGTGATGTTCGGCTGTACCGATCCTGTGCAGGTGTTATTACACGTGGTCTGCCACTGCGAGGATGATCAGCTGTCCGTCCTGTCTCCCTGTAGCGCTGTCTTAGGTGTCTCACAGTACGACATTTTAATTTATTGCCCTGGCCACATCTGCAGTCCTCATGCCTCCTTGCAGCATGCCTAAGGCACGTTCACGCAGATGAGCAGGGACCCTGGGCATCTTTCTTTTGGTGTTTTTCAGAGTCAGTAGAAAGGCCTCTTTAGAGTCCTAAGTTTTCATAACTGTGACCTTAATTGCCTACCGTCTGTAAGCTGTTAGTGTCTTAACAACCATTCCACAGGTGCATGTTCATTAATTGTTTATGGTTAATTGAACAAGCAGGGGAAACAGTGTTTAAACCCTTTACAAGTTATTTTGATTTTTACTAATCTTTGAAAGACAGGGTCCTGAAAAAGGGACGTTTATTTTTTTGCTGAGTTTATATACAGTACCAGTCAAAAGTTGACACAGCTACTAATTCAGTTGTGTTGTGACAAGGTAGGGGTGGTATACAGAAGATAGCCCTATTTGGTAAAAGACCAAGTCCATATTATGGCAAGAACAGCTCAAATAAGCAAAGAGAAACTACAGTCCATCATTACTTTAAGACATGAAGGTCAGTCAATACGGAACATTTCAAGAAATTTGAAAGTTTCTTCAAGTGAAGTCGCAGAAACCATCAAGCGCTATGGTGAAACTGGCTCTCATGAGGATCGCCACAGGAAAGGAAGACCCAGAGTTACCTCTGCTGCAGAGGATAAGTTCATTAGAGTTACCAGCCTCAGAAATTGCAGCCCAAATAAATGCTTCAGAGCTCAAGTAACAGACACATCTCAACATCAGCTGTTCAGAGGAGACTGTGTGAATCAGGCCTTCATGGTCGAATTGCTGCAAAGAAACCACTACTAAAGGACACCAATAATAAGAGACTTGCTTGGGCCAAGAAACACGAGCAATGGACATCAGACCGATGGAAATCTGTCCTTTGGTCTGATGAGTCCAGATTTCTGGTTTCAACCACCATGTCTTTGTGAGACGCAAAGTAGGTGTATGGATGATCTCCGCATGTGTGGTTCCCACCGTGAAGCATGGAGGAGGAGGTGTGGGGGTGCTTTGCAGGTGACACTGTCAGTGATTTATTTAGAATTCAAGGCACACTTAACCAGCAAGGCTATTACAGCATTCTGCAGCGATACACCATCCCATCTGGTTTGCGCTTACTGGGACTATCATTTGTTTTTCAACAGCACAATGACCCAACACACCTCCAGGCTGTGTAAGGGCTATTTGACCAAGAAGGAGAGTGATGGAGTGCTGCATCAGATGACCTGGCCTCCACAATCACCCGACCTCAACCCAATTGAGATGGTTTGGGATGAGTTGACTGTTAATTGAAATGCATTCCAGGTGACTACCTCATGAAGCTGGATGAGAGAATGCCAAGAGTGTGCAAAGCTGTCATCAAGGCAAAGGGTGGCTACTTTGAAGAATCTACAGTGAGCACCATAATTCATTGGACAGTGACCATTTATTTTGAAATTTTGGTTCTGTACTCTAGCACTTTGAGCTTGAAAGGATACAATGACAATGAGGGTGAAGTGCAGACTGTCAGCTTTAATTTGAGGGTATTTTCATACATTTCGGATTAACCGTTAAGAAATTATAGAAGTTTTTGTACATGGTCCCCCCCATTGGACAGTTTAACATAATGTAGAATAAAGTAATCATTGTTCATATTTGGTCGCATATCCTTTGCATGCAATGACTGCTTGAAGTCTGCGATGCATCGACATCACCAGACGCTGGGTATCTTCCCTGGTGATGCTCTGCCAGGCCTGTACTGCAGCCATCTTCAGTTCCTGCTTGTTTCGGGGACTTATTGCCTTCAGTCTCTTCTTCAGCATGTAAAATGCATGTTCAATTGGATTCAGATCCGGTGATTGACTCGGCCAGTCAAGGATTTTCCACTTTTTGGCCATCAAAAACTCCTTTGTTGCTCTAGCAGTATGTTTAGGGTCATTGTCTTGTTGCATGATGTCCAATGAGTTTGGAGGCATTTGGTTTTATCTGAGCAGATAAAATATTTCTGTAGACTTCAGAATTCATTGTTCTACTTCTGTCTGCAGTCACATCATCGATGAAGACAAGTGAGCCTGTTCCACTGGCAGCCATACAGGCCCAAGCCATAACACCCCCTCCACCATGTTTCATGGATGAGGTGGTATGCTTTGGATCATGGGCATTTCTTTTTTTTCTCCACACTTTCCTCTTTCCATCACTCTGGTACATGTTAATCTTTGTCTCATCTGTCCACAATACTTTTTTCCAAAACTCTTGGGGCTCTTTTTAGGTGCTTTTTAACTGTAATCTCACCTTTCTGTTCTTCAGGCTTATCAGTGGTTTGCATCTTGTAGTGTACCCTCTGTAGTCCTGCTGGTGTAGTCTTCTACGTATGGTAGACTTTAACACATCTACACCTGCATCCAGGAGAGTGTTTTTGATCTGTTGGGCTGTTGTCAGGGGGGTTTTCTTCACCATAGAGTGTATTCTCCAGTCATTCACTACAGTGGTCTTCCTCGGTCTACCGGGTCTTTTGACATAATTGAGTTCACCGGTTGTTTTTTTCTTGTTAATGATGAACCAAACTGTTGACTTGGGCATGGCCAGGGTTTTTGCAATGTTCCTGATTGATTGATTTTCATTTCTGAGCCTTATGACGGCCAGCTTCATTTGCATCAACACTGCTGTCTTCCTCATGTACAAAATGTACAAAAGGTGCTGTCATTTCTAAACGGTTCATCCGATATGTATGAAAATACCCACAAATTAAAGCTGACAGTCTGCACTTCACCCTCATTGTCATTGTATCCTTTCAAACTCAAAGTGCTAGAGTACAGAACCAAAATAACAAAAACATGGGTGACATGTCTGGTGACTTGTGTACGGGAATTGTGTACAGATCCTTGCGACATGGAGCCGTGCATTATCATGCTGAAACATGAGGTGATGGCGGCGGATGAATGGCACGAAATCTGTGCATTCAAATTGCCATTGATAAAATGCAATGGTGTTCGTTGTCCGTAGCTTATGCCTGCCCATACCATAACCACACCGCCACCATGGGGCACTCTGTTCACAACATTGACATCATCAAACCGCTTGCCCACACAACGCCATACAAGTGGTCTGCGGTTGTGAGGCCGGTTGGACGTACTGCCAAATTCTCAACGTTGGTGGCGGCTTATGGTAGAGAAATGACCATTCAATTCTCTGACAACAGCTCTGGTGGACATTCCTACAGTCAGCATGCCAATTGCACACTCCCTCAACTTGAGACCTCTGTGGCATTGTGTTGTGTGACAAAAGTGCACATTTTAGAGTGGCGTTGCCACACCTGTCAAGTAGATGGATTATCTTGGCAAAGGAGAAATGCTCACTAACAGGGATGTAAACAAATTTGTGAACAACATTTGAGAGAAATAAGCTTTTTGTGCTTATGGAAATGTAATTTTTTATTTCAGCTCATGAAACATGGGATCAACACTTTACATGTTGCATTTATATTTTTGTTCAGTGTATATATAATTGTTCATTCAAATGTCATAACTCCATGTTTTTGAACATTCAGAGTCGCTCTTGGTTGGTGAGAGACAATCCCTGGTATCCAACGTGATAAAGCCCTCAACTATAGTAAATCACTACATCAAGCGTAATATAAAACTTTTATTAAGCCTATAGGTTTAATTATGTATACATAAGTAAATGGCCTAATGACCACATTAAGCACTGTGTATGTTGTCAAATGCATGATCAAATCCAATGTTTTATGATTACTTGCTATGGCAAAAGCCTGTGTCACTTTTAGACATTAGGCTGATGCAAGTGCTATCATTTATGACAACTGTATATACGATAGACACATAAGGAAGTAATAGCTGTATATAGGATACTCTTCTCTAAAACGATGCCAGGTAGGGAGTGCTGGGTATGGGAACCTTTTCCCAAGTGGCCAAACCACACCTTAAATGAGGAAGTTGGTTTGGAGCAGAAAGCTTGGATTGCTATTACAAACCTAAAGACTTCCCCTGTTTATGATTCAAGAATGAATGACAACCTGTGTGTCAGGAGGATATATAATATACATTGATCGGGTGGTCTCATTCATGTGCAGATTAAAGACACTTTGGCCCCTTCTCAATTTGTCTCTACGATTCCTTGCATAATTCCTCAACTCCTTCTCAAGCGTATTGGAGAAGATCCAAGGTCCTATCCCTGAGACCCTTTTCTCCAATGCATTTTTAAAAGGAGAGAGGATGCAAGGAAAGATGAATGAGGAAAAAGGCTTTGTATGGTCCTTGTGGCGGAGGAGATAAGAGGCTCTGTGTAGGCTTTTGAACTACGAAACATCAATGACTAGTTTCTCTGACCCCTAATTGACCATTCTGCTTTGAAAGCACTGACCGACTCCCCATACAAGCAACTGTTCCTTTAGCTATCTATGGGCCTGCTTTGAGTCCATTTATGTATGTGTGAAGTGTGAATTGGTCCTTATTGCTTAGATCTGATGTCACATCCTTTTCTGTATCCCGCACAGACCTATTGCTTTGTCCCTCATTGCATTTGCATGCCAGACCTTTTAATAAGCCCAGCAGCTGCCCTTTCTTCAGTTTGAATCCTAATGATCACTTTCAAAGGAAAGCGGCCCTATCTCAAGTGTTGCGCACTAGGAAGTCTGCTGTCTGGCTCCCACTTCAAAAGCCTTTCGAGCTGTGCCCTGCCCCGGCACTGGCCAAGATCACCTCCAAGTTGTGTCTGGCTTTCTACAAGGAGGGTGAGAGAAATGTATCTGAAGGAATAAGGTAAGAGTCTCTGGGCTATGGGGTATGACTACTGGTCTGATCAGTTATTTCTCATGCTTTGGGTCGATTGAGCATAGAAAAGTAATACATGCAAGAGTTTTTTTTCTTCCTAAAGGGTCATACAATTGATACATTTGTTAAGCCAGGAAAGAGAGTGTCTGGTAATGGTTCAGTTTAAATGCATAATAATGTGTATTGCATTTAACCAGTTCCTTGTGGAGTTTCTTGAATATTATGTAGTTGGTTGATAAATTAGCCTAGGTTTCTTGTCCCGAGGGCAAGTATCTGTGGTGCAGTAGGACACTGTTGTTAGACGGAAATGTAAAATCAATTGAATAATATGTGATTCTAAGAATTTTCTAAAATAAATAGTACCGTGGATGTTTTACTATCACCATATTCTACAAGCACAGTTGGCAAATACACAAGGCTACATAATGACAAAGATAAGCGTACACAGACACATTTTTATTTTTATATAGTGTATTCAATATTGATATGCCAGTTATGGTTGACAATTATAGGTTTATATATGTCCTTAGTCCCTACATCCTTCAGAGCAATGGTGATATCCCTGTTTGAGGAGGATTCATATCAGAACGGCTCATCTGGTTTTGACAGAGACTCTCCAGTCTCACATTGGGAGACAGTTACACACAGGTCTCCTAAAAATGTTTATCTGTTAGAAGTCCTATGTTTGCTTTGGATCTTTGTTAGCTTTTGCCCTAAAATGTAGTGCATGTAGTTCACTTAAAAGCCTTAAAATGCTGTCTTATTGATCAGATATGACACTTTACAGCTTTTAAGAGGGAGTCGTGTCAATGTCTTTGTATAGCATTCCTTCATGTTTTCTCTGCTTTCTTACAGATTATTTTCGTGTGAACCCAACGCTCTTTTAGTTGGATGACTAATACACCATGAATATGGATACGGCAACCAGAATAACCTGATGAAATAGGTTATTAATAATGTTATGGACTGAATCCGCATTTCTTTCAACAATGCATTGGCTATTGCACATGGTTATACCAATATAAGCAGTTGGTTTGAAAATGCGAAATATTTTAATTTGAATCTGGATTCCTTCCTAGCAAAGTCTTTGCAGTTCATCAATGTAAACAGTGTTACAGGTGACAAGATTTTCCCATGAAGTTCAATTCCAACTAACTTGCCAGCATCACAGTGTTACAAAATTATCGAATTATTAAACAATTCTTAGTTAACTAACAAAAATTAAAAGTTGATAAAAAATTATGAAGAAATATGAATAAAATATACAACATGTACAGGAGCCATTAAGTTAAGTTAAGCTGCCATCGGTAGAGTAGAGGATTAGTGAGCCAGCTACCTACAGAGTCCATAAGGAGAGGCTGAGGAAGTCGGGGACAGCGAGGTGTGGTAAAGGCTCCGGACCGGTCTCTGACTGACTCTGATATGACCACCGACCACCTTGCTGTGACCAAAATGCTCCCCACATCCCTCCACTACTCAGACTGTTCTACCTCCATTCTTGCCTCAACTCCCTGACTTTTCGATTTTCTTGTAATCTCGTTTTGTTAATCGAAATTTGGTTCCTTGTATGTGTTACTGCAACTCAGCTTTTAGCTGCCATAGTACACATGAAATGAAATAAATAATTATCATCATCATACGTTATGAGGCTGGTTCTGGTCAAACCCACCAATGCAACGCGTCGGCTCGATTCAACAGGAGACACTTGTAACGACCAAGACCCGGATCACTGCAACTCTCGAGGGCAGTCCCTACCAGACAAAGCCCCTGAGGTCATGCAGTATCGCTACTCTGGAACTGCCCTCCAGCCTCAAACGTCAATACCAGAGCAGAGCACTAACAGCATTTCCACTTCCACTTCTCCGCCACAGGCTACTCCAAATGGAGTCGCTCCACCAAGGAAATCTCCACCATTAAAAACACGTTGCACTACACTGTCAAAACTGAGCAATCAAGATCTCCTCCTCTTTTGTAGCCAGGTGGGTGGTACTCTTGAACTGCAGAACGAAAGCCCACTGTTGGCCGAGTGGCATGGGACCACGGTGGGACGTCCTGATGAGGACCGTGGCTCTGTTTGCTATTCTCCTAGTACAAAACATGGTTCAGAGGTGGCAGGTTTCCAGCCACGATCAAAGCAGGGCTTCTTGAAGGACTGCCTCTCCACATTCTCCAAGAAGGGAACTCCTCCTTCTCTACAGTATACCCACTCCTATCCTCAGAACTCCCTGGTGTCATCGTCATCCCGGTTTTTCAGGCAGAAACCAAATCAAGAGGATCCCTCAACAGAGACTGTCAATCATCAGCAGGATCATTTCACATCCCGATGCAGAGGAGAAGACAGGCTGAAGGAGTATAATCAATGGCAGCAGCAGACCCATAATCATTTCAAGATTAAAGAGCATAACCTACCACCAGTCTCGACTACTGAAAAAACAGAACCTTCGCTCAATATACCTCTGAATAGCAATGAGTCAAGTAAAGTTAGACAGCTCTTGGTTTTGTCTCAATCTCAGGACCAGCAGCAACTTCCCTTAGATACGCAACACCAATGGATGTTAGGGAATGGTTTACCTAGCTGCTGTGCCAATGAGTGTGGAGTACGTTGTGGGAGCCAACAGCCTTACTTAAACCAGCATCTACAGCAAGACCCTCAATGGCAGCATTGTTGTGACCATCTCAGCACCCTAAAATGCGATCAGTGTTCTCTCTACCCATCCAGCAGCAGCCCACAAGTGAAGAATTCGTTCCTGTCTACTAGCGACAAAAGCAGTGTTCACTCCTCTTCCAGTAGCCATCGGTGGCCGGAGAACCATCAGCTAGAGGGAGAAGGACGACTACAAGGGGAGCAACAGGTACATCCTCATACCAAAAAGGTTGGCCATGTTGGTTCAACGCCTTCCCTATCCAAGAGCAGTAGCCTTCTCCTTCCCGACACAGTTGTGACCAGCGCTAAATACAATGGGGATGTTGGGAGACCCCTGAGCAGCCTTGGAGCTTCGCCACCCAACCTTTCAGAGCTGGACTCAGCGAGACAAGAGCCCCTCCAGACTCTCCACAGGTCCGTCCTGGAGGAGGTGTTCTCCAAAGGCCTCAGTGAGGACAATAGTAAGGCCAACAGCGAGGGAGGAGGAGACGCGCCACAGAAGAGGACTAAGGACATTGGCTACAGATTGGGCCAGCGTAGGGCGCTATTTGGAAAGCGCAAACAGTTGAGCGACTATGCCTTGATCTTTGGGATGTTTGGGATTGTTGTCATGGTGACAGAGACGGAACTGTCCTGGGGGGTTTACACAAAGGTAAGAAATGTCTCTTATTTCAGTGGATTGACCCGTCATTATGTCATACAGCATTAGAGGTCTACCATGAATATCAGGCCTAGAGTACTGGTAAGACAAGACCGTTTTAAAAGAGGGGATCTTAATTGTCTGTCTTCTCTGCAGGAATCCTCATACTCATTTGCTCTGAAATGCCTTGTCAGCCTTTCAACTGCTATATTGCTCGGACTCATTGTGATGTACCATGCACGGGAAATACAGGTGATATGCCACCATCATCATCTCTACATTAATATTACAGTTTTTCCCCATGCTCTCTTTTCCCCTGCATCTAAATCTCCTTGTTCACCCTCCTCTCCTTGCACCTACACACACAGCTCTTCATGGTGGACAATGCAGCTGATGACTGGAGGATTGCTATGACGTATGAGCGGATCTTCCTGGTTGTGCTGGAGCTGCTGGTCTGTGCCATCCACCCCATCCCGGGCCAGTACGTCTTCACCTGGACAGCCCGGCTGGCATTCACCTACACACCCTCATTGACCGATGCCGACGTGGACATCGTCCTCTCCATCCCCATGTTCCTCAGGCTCTACCTAATCGGTCGCGTCATGCTGCTGCACAGCAAGCTCTTCACGGACGCCTCGTCGCGCAGCATCGGCGCCCTCAACAAGATCAACTTCAACACACGCTTTGTCATGAAGACCCTCATGACCATCTGCCCCGGCACAGTGCTGCTGGTCTTCAGCGTCTCTTGTTGGATCATCGCGGCGTGGACGGTGCGTGTCTGTGAGAGGTACAGGCCCCAGACACAGTAGGCATTTCCATCAACACTGCATCACTCTTACCCAGTACATTTCTCAGTAAAGAATAATAATAATATGCCATTTAGCAGACACTTTTATCCAAAGCGACTTACAGTCATGTGTGCATACATTTTTACGTATGGGTGGTCCCGGGGATCGAACCCACTACCCTGGCGTTACAAGCGCCATGCTCTACCAATTGAGCTACAGAGGACCACATGTAAGATTAATGCCTCTCAAGTCTTGATTATGGTTAGCTCAAGATGTTGATGTGGACCTCTACTATGCCTCTCTGCTTGATATATAATGAAACATACAGAAATGTATGGAATACAGTATACGATGTTATACTGGAAGAAATAGATACAGTTGAAGTCGGAAGTTTACATACACTTAGGTTGGAGTCATTAAAACTTGTTTTTCTTGTTAACAAACTATAGTTTTGGCTAGTCGGTTAGGACATCTACTTTGTGCATGACACAAGTAATTCTTCCAACAATTGTTTACAGACAGATTATTTCACTTATAATTCACTGTATCACAATTCCAGTGGGTCAGAAGTTTACATACACTAAGTTGACTGTGCCTTTAAACAGCTTGGAAAATTCCAGAAAATGATGACATGGCTTTAGAAGCTTCTGATAGGCTAATTGACATAATTTGAGTCAATTGGAGGTGTACCTGTGGATGTATTTCAAGGCCTACCTTCAACCTCAGTGCCTCTTTGCTTGACATCATGGGAAAATCAAAAGACCACAGAAAAAAAATTGTAGACCTCCACAGGTCTGGTTCATCCTTGGGAGCAAAACCACCATAGAAAAGCCAGACTACGGTTTGCAACTGCACATGGGGACAAAGATCACACTTTTTGGAGAAATGTCCTCTGGTCTGATGAAACAAAAATAGAACTGTTTGTTATGTTTGGAGGAAAAAGGGGTTAGGCTTGCAAGCCGAAGATCACCATCTCAACCGTAAAGCACGGGGGTGGCAGCATCATGCTGTAGGGGTGCTTTGCTGCAGGAGGGACTGGTGCATTTCACAAAATAGATGGCATCATGAGGAAGGAAAATTATGTGGATATACATTTACATTTTAGTCATTTAGCAGACGCTCTTATCCAGAGCGACTTACATGAGCAATTAGGGTTAAGTGCCTTGCTTAAGGGCACATCGACAGATTTTTCACCTAGTCGGCTCGGGGATTAGAACTAGCGACCTTTCGGTTACTGATATATTGAAGCAACATCTCAAGACATTAGTCAGGAAGTTAAAGCTTGGTTGCAAATGGGTCTTCCAAAATTGACAATGACCCCAAGCATACTTCCAAAGTTGTGGCAAAATGGTTTAAGGACAGCATAGTCAAGGTATTGGAGTGGCCATCACAAAGCCCTGACCTCAATCCTATAGAAAATGTGTGGGCAGAACTGAAAAAGCGTGTGTGAGCAAGGAGGCCTACAAACCTGACTCAGTTACACCAGCTCTGTCAGGAGGAATGGGCCAAAATTCACCCAACTTATTGTGGGAAGCTTGTGGAAGGCTACCTGAAATGTTTGACCCAAGTTAAACAATTTAAAGGCAATGCTACCAAATACTAATTGAGTGTATGTAAACTTCTGACCCACTGGGAATGTGATGAAAGCTGAAATAAATCATTCTCTCTACTATTATTCTGACATTTCACATTCTTAAAATAAAGTGTTGATCCTAACTGACCTAAAACAGGGAATATTTGCTAGGATTAAATGTCAGGAATTGTGAAAAACTGAGTTTAAATGTATTTGGCTAAGGTGTATGTAAACTTCCGACTTCAACTGTACATGTGTTTATTATAAGACATGTATATTTCTTGTTCCTCCAGGTATCAAGACACACAGGAAGTGACCAGTAACTTCCTTGGGGCAATGTGGCTGATCTCTATCACCTTTCTCTCCATTGGTTATGGAGACATGGTCCCTCACACTTACTGTGGAAAGGGTGTGTGTCTGCTGACCGGAATCATGGTATGTTTCCTATGCATCCCCAAGTGTTAAAAGAGATCTATGGCATTCAGGATGAGGCAGCTCTAGCGTGTAATCCGAGAAGGGGTTTGTAGAGGGATGGACTATGGTGACAATACACTGATACACATACTGGCAACAGCAACAAAACAAACATATACATGTGTTATTATATTGAATAAATAATATCTAATGAGATATAAAGACAACACTTTTACTCATGAAAAAGTATTACTGTCTTTGTCTTTTCTCCCAAGGGGGCTGGCTGCACTGCCCTGGTGGTTGCTGTAGTTGCCAGGAAGTCCGAGTTGACCAGAGCTGAGAAGCATGTTCACAACTTTATGATGGACACTCAGCTTTATAAACGAGTAAGTGGACATTAGAGGTCTTCATGGCTCCAAAATGTTGGGCCTGACCCAAACTGGACCCGTGGATTTTCGACCCTAACCTGATACATATCGGATAATCTAAATGTTTTATGAAGAGACATTATAAATAAAGGAAATGCCCCCAATCAGCAACCCAGTAAGCAAAATGTTGTTGAAAAGATGTTGAAGATGCATCTTTGTCTGACATTGATGCCACGTTAGTTTTCAGTTCAAAGTTAAAGTTTAAAAGGCGTCTTTTACGACGTTATCAAGGCGTCTTTTTATAGATGTTGAAAAGACGACTCTGCCGGTAGTTGGAAAGCCATCTCTGCCGGACCTCCTATTGACATCCAGTTTTAGTTGAAAATACGTCAATTTTGGTTGTTGTTTCTATGGCCAAATTTCAATGAAGAAAACATTGTCAAGTTATACATTTTCTTAATGGGGCAAAATGGAGATTGAAGTATGGATTACTCATTATTGTTTCTGTCACTTTCACTTATGTCAGACTTTTCAAAAGCTTCAGAACTGGCAGTGATCATATTTGAAATTTACTGACAACCAACATAACACTAACTACTACAACATTCTCAGTAACAGTTACAGCAACTGAACCCTTGCAAAGTACACTGGGTATAATTCTAATGAACCAATAATAAACGTCCATAGACGTCCTACGTCAATCGGTGCTCACTGGGATTGGCTGTCATGTTATAACTGTAGGCCTGGATCATAATCATTATGATTTACACCATGGCATTGTTGAATACAGATTTCTGATTGGCTTGAAGGGCATTGGTGAGCGTGCATTATTTCCCTATAATAACGCAGAGTATCCACCTCATTTTCAAATGTTGCTATGGGCACAGCCAAACAACGGAAGTGATTGATTCGACTTCTGCTTTACTTACCTACTGCAGTGCGCCGGTGGCAAACTTGCTAGAGTACATTATTAGTCAAGTAAACAAGTGTAAGTGTAATTTTATATGTATTTCATTCAAGTTTGCTAACATTAGCGAGACCTACTACTAGTAGTTCTGTTGTGATAATTACCTTAAATTGTGTTGTGTAAGAGTTAAGGGCCATCCACCATACCTATAACAATAACTGTGATAAACTATAGGCTACATTCTATAGCTAGAGGAGTCCTGATATCAAATCAAATCAAATTTTATTTGCCACATGCGCCGAATACAACAGGTGTAGTAGACCTTATAGTGAAATGCTTACTTACCAGCCCTTAACCAACAACGCAGTTTAAAGAAAAATAAGTGTTGAGTAAAAAATAGATAAGTAAAAAAATAACAAATATTAAAGAGCAGCAGTGAAATGAAATAACAGTAGGGAGGCTATATACAGGGGGTACCGGTACAGAGTCAATGTACGGGGGCACCAGTTAGTCGAGGTAATTGAGGTAATATGTACATGTGGGTAGAGTTAAAGTGACTATGCATAGATAATAAACAGAGTAGCAGCAGCTTAAAAGAGGGGGTGGGGTGGGGGGGGCAATGCAAATAGTCCGGGTAGCCATGATTAGCTGTTCAGGAGTCTTATGGCTTGGGGGTAGAAGCTGTTAAGAAGCCTTTTGGACCTAGACTTGGCGCTCCGGTACCGCTTGCTGTGCGGTAGCAGAGAGAACAGTCTATGACTAGGGTGGCTGGAGTCTTTGACAATTTTTAGGGCCTTGCTCTGACACCGCCTGGTATAGAGGTTCTGGATGGCAGGAAGCTTAGCCCCAGTGATGTACTGGGCTGTACGCACTACCCTCTGTAGTGCCTTGCGGTCGGAGGCCGAGCAGTTGCCATACCAGGCAGTGATGCAACCAGTCAGGATGCGCTCGATGGTGCAGCTGTATAACTTTTTGAGGATCTGAGGACCAATGCCAAATCTTTTCAGTCTCCTGAGGGGGAATAGGCTTTGTTGTGTCCTCTTCACGACTGTCTTGGTGTGTTTGGACCATGATAGTTTGATGGTGATGTGGACACCAAGGAACTTGAAGCTCTCAACCTGTCACTCCAGGAGTGATAAGTATATATTTTTTGTCTTTATCTGTTGTGGTCTAGTACTGTCTTTTTGCTAGCTAGGACCATCTACTTTAAGTGCTGCCTGTCTTCCCAGTGGCCTACTTGGTGTGTGAACTGCTGACTGCTCATAAATTGCAGATAGTTGTAGACACATCAACCAGGATCAAATGGCAGGGCAATACAGTGGGGAAAAAAAGTATTTAGTCAGCCACCAATTGTGCAAGTTCTCCCACTTAAAAAGATGAGAGAGGCCTGTAATTTTCATCATAGGTACACGTCAACTATGACAGACAAAATGAGAAAAAAAAATCCAGAAAATCAGATTGTAGGATTTTTAATGAATTTATTTGCAAATTATGGTGGAAAATAAGTATTTGGTCAATAACAAAAGTTTCTCAATACTTTGTTATATACCCTTTGTTGGCAATGACACAGGTCAAACGTTTTCTGTAAGTCTTCACAAGGTTTTCACACACTGTTGCTGGTATTTTGGCCCATTCCTCCATGCAGATCTCCTCTAGAGCAGTGATGTTTTGGGGCTGTCGCTGGGCAACACAGACTTTCAACTCCCTCCAAAGATTTTCTATGGGGTTGAGATCTGGAGACTGGCTAGGCCACTCCAGGACCTTGAAATGCTTCTTACGAAGCCACTCCTGCTGAAAGACCCAGCCACGTTTCATCTTCAATGCCCTTGCTGATGGAAGGAGGTTTTCACTCAAAATCTCACGATACATGGCCCCATTCATTCTTTCCTTTACACGGATCAGTCGTCCTGGTCCCTTTGCAGAAAAACAGCCCCAAAGCATGATGTTTCCACCCCCATGCTTCACAGTAGGTATGGTGTTCTTTGGATGCAACTCAGCATTCTTTGTCCTCCAAACACGACGAGTTGAGCTTTTACCAAAAAGTTATATTTTGGTTTCATCTGACCATATGATATTCTCCCAATCCTCTTCTGGATCATCCAAATGCACTCTAGCAAACTTCAGACGGGCTTGGACATGTACTGGCTTAAGCAGGGGGACACGTCTGGCACTGCAGGATTTGAGTCCCTGGCGGCGTAGTGTGTTACTGATGGTAGGCTTTGTTACTTTGGTCCCAGCTCTCTGCAGGTCATTCACTAGGTCCCCCCGTGTGGTTCTGGGATTTTTGCTCACCGTTCTTGTGATTATTTTGACCCCACGGGGTGAGATCTTGCGTGGAGCCCCAGATCGAGGGAGATTATCAGTGGTCTTGTATGTCTTCCATTTCCTAATAATTGCTCCCACAGTTGATTTCTTCAAACCAATCTGCTTACCTATTGCAGATTCAGTCTTCCCAGCCTGGTGCAGGTCTACAATTTTCTTTCTGATGTCCTTTGACAGCTCTTTGGTCTTGGCCATAGTGGAGTTTGGAGTGTGACTGAGGTTGTGGACAGGTGTCTTTTATACTGATAACAAGTTCAAACAGGTGCCATTAATACAGGTAACGAGTGGAGGACAGAGGAGCCTCTTAAAGAAGAAGTTACAGGTCTGTGAGAGTCTCGCACACTCTTGGATTGCATCCTACCTGGCAGGCCACTCCTACCAGGTGACGTGGAGAGGATCTGTGTCTGCACCATGTACTCTCACTACTGGTGTCCCCCAGGGCTCGATTCTAGGCCCTCTTCTCTCTATACACCAAGTCACTCGGTTCCGTCATATCCTCACATGGTCTCTCCTATCATTGCTATGCGGATGACCCTCAAATACTTTTCTCCTCCCCTTCTGACACCCAGGTGGCGACACGCATCTCTGCGTGCCTGGCAGATATCAACTTGGATGTCGTCCAACCACCTCAAGCTTGACAAGACAGAACTGCTCTTCCTCCCGAGGAAGGCCTGCCCGCTCAAAGACCTCTTCATCACGGTTGACAACTCCACAGTGTCGCCCTCCCAGAGTGCCAAGAACCTTGGCGTGACCCTGGACAACACCCTGTCGTTCTCTGTAAACATCAAAGCAGTGACCCGCTCCTGCAGGTTCATGCTCTACAACATCCGTAGAGTACGACCCTACCTCACAACAATAATTTTTCCACCATTCATTTTTCCCATAGAGGATTTTTAGAAACACTTAAAATAAGGGCTGTTTCGTGTAGGCTTACCCTGGCGTGACGTTTTGATAACGTGTAAATCTCTCTAGGACAAGGTAACTTATCAATATATTCACCTGTATTTACCTGTATTCTTTTTCTGGAATGTTCCCCCAGGTGAAAAACACAGCTGCCAATGTACTCAGAGAGACATGGCTTATCTACAAACACACCAAGTTAGTCAAGAAGATCGATCACGCCAGGGTACGCAAACATCAGCGGAAATTTCTGCAAGCCATTCACCAGTAAGTAGTGTGCATTTTCAAACCTTTGTTAAATAAAGAATAGTTTGTGTATCTGTAAGTATGTTATGCAGCCTAACTTACCCCTTACCTTTGCCCTCCATAACTCGCTCCCACTTCACTTTCCCCTAGACTGCGCAGAGTCAAACTGGAACAGATGAAACTCACCGACCAGGCTAACACACTTGTGGATCTAGCTAAGGTGCACCTTCATTATAATTTTCATTAAGCACCTTCATTATCATCTTTATATTTCTTTCTAAACACTTGACACCGTTTTTGCTCCACAGACTCAAAACATGATGTATGACCTGGTGTCTGACCTGCAGCTACGCAGCGAGGAGCTGGATAGGAGGATCGGTAGTTTGGACGACAAATTGGACTCCATCCTAGTCAATTTGCAGGCCCTACCCAGCCTTCTCTCGCAGGCGGTCACACAGCAGCACAAGGACTTCCTGGATGGCTTGGCCCACCGCGTACGGACAGTCTCGTCAGGCTCCGAGCTTCACTGCGTTCCCGCTAGGTGCCAACGGGCCCCCTCCACTGCACCACAGACCATATCATACAGCTGACAGCCTAGCCACATCAGCGCTATTGTGACCTTAAATTATGTATTTATTTAAGTGTATTTCATACTAGCCCAGGGACAGGGACATTCTAGCCTCTAACTATGAATTTGAGCGTGGTTACATCTCTCCAGCCCAATCCCTCAGTTGTTTGCTTAAAGAAGTAGTGGGGCGGCCGGTTTGTTGTTTTCCAAATCCTGGATTGCCAGTCTGTATAGCTGGGTCATTCTTGAATTGCGGTGGCATTTCGGCATGGCATTTTGGGAGAAATTGACTTAATTTTTCTAGATTTGTATTTATTTTCATGTATGTTGGTACATCGTCACATTCTAAATCAACTAATACAGGTAGCTTAATGACTTTAAATAATTTTTACCATTATAATATAATTGTGCCACCAGTAACACCAATGACAGATTGGAGGTAATTAAGGATTTTCCTTAAATAGAGGCCACATAAGCTCAAATCTAAAGTCATTAATCCTTAAATATTTTACTAGTGATATGATTAATTTTGTACACTAAGTGTACCAAACATTAAGAAAACCTGCTCTTTCCATGACATACAGTGCATTCGGAAAGTATTCAGACCCCTTGACTTTTTCCACATTTTGTTACGTTACAGCCTTATTCTAAAATGGATACAATAATTTTTTTCCCCTCATCAATTTACCCACAATACCCCATAACGACAAAACAAAAACATGTTTTTAGAATTTTTGGCATATGTATAAAAAAACAAAAACATACCTTATTTACAAAAGTGGTGGAAAAACGATAGGAACCATTTCCCTGTTTGACCGCTAGGTATTATGGGTATTATGACACCGCCACTGTGGGGCTCTTATATGGCCGGGATTCAATCTGATTGCACTTTGTCAGCAACATGCACCTTTTAAAGGCGCATGTGTTCCTGCATTCACAGAATCCGCATCACGGATGTATTATAAGAACGGTCCGCATTAATAGTAAACGCTGCATACAGTGCCTTGCAAAAGTATTCATCCCCCTTGGCGTTTTTCTTATTTTATTGGCACTACAACCTGTAATTTAAATGGATTTTTATTTGGATTCGATGTAATGGACATACAAAAAATAGTCCAAATTGGTGAAGTGAAATTAAATGAAAAAAAATTACTTATTTCAAAAAATTCAAACAATTAATAACGATAAAGTGGTGAATGCATATGTATTCACCCCCTTTGCTATGAAGCCCCTAAATAAGATCTGGTGCAACCAATTACATTCAGTCACATAATTAGTTAGTTAATTAGTCCACCTGTCTGCAATCTAAGTGTCACATGATCTCAGTATATATACACACCTGTTCTGAAAGGCCCCAGAGTCGGCAACACCACTAAGCAAGGGGCACCACCATGCAAGCGGCACCATGAAGACCAAGGAGCTCTCCAAACAGTACAAAGTACAAGTCAGGATTGGGTTATAAAAAAATATCAGAAACTTTGAACACCCCACAGAGCACCATTAAATCCATTATAAAAAAATGGAAAGAATATGGCACCACAACAAACCTGCCAAGAGGGCCGCCCACCAAAACTCAAGGACCAGGTAAGGAGGGCATTAATAAGAGAGGTAACAAAGAGACCAAAGATAACCCTGAAGGAGCTGCAAATCTCCACAGCGGAGATTGGAGTATCTGTCCATAGGACCACTTTAAGCCATACACTCCACAGAGCTGGGCTTTACGGAAGAGTGGCCAGAAAAAAAGCCATTGCTTAAAGAAAAAAATAAGCAACCATGTTTGGTGTTCGCTAAAAGGCATGTGGGAGACTCCCCAAACATATGGAAGAAGGTACTCTGCTCAGATGAGACTAAAATTGAGCTTTTTGGCCATCAAGGAAAATGCTATGTCTGGTGCAAACCCAACACCTCTCATCACCCCGGGAATACCATCCCCCACAGTGGGGATGTTTTTCGTCGGCAGGGACTGGGAAACTGGTCAGAATTGAAGGAATGATGGATGGCGCTAAATACACAGAAATTCTTGAGGGAAACCTGTTTCAGTCTTCCAGAGATTTGAGACTGGCACGGAGGTTCACCTTCCAGCAGGACAATGACCCTAAGCATACTGCTAAAGCAACAATTGAGTGGTTTAAGGGGAAACATTTAAATGTCTTGGAAAGGCCTAGTCAAAGCCCAGACCTCAATCCAATTGAGAATCTGTGGTATGACTTAAAGATTGCTGTACACCAGCAGAACCCATCCAACCTGAAGGAGCTGGAGCAGTTTTGCCTTGAAGAATGGGCAAAAATCCCAGTGGCTAGATGTGCCAAGCTTATAGACACATACCCCAAGAGACTTGCAGCTGTAATTGCTGCAAAAGGTGGCTCTACAAAGTATTGACTTTGTAGAATAGTTATGCACGCTCAAGTTCTGTTTTTTTGTCTTATTTCACAATAAAAAATATTTTGCATCTTCAAAGTGGTAGGCATGTTGTGTAAATCAAATGATACAAATCCCCCCAAAATCCATTTTAATTCCAGGTTGTAAGGCAACAAAATAGGAAAAATGCCAAAGGGGATGAATACTTTCGCACGCTCAATTGCAAACTACCTGTAAATGGCACATTGTCGAAAAAGCGCGATCAGATTAAATCCCGGCCTAAATTTTCCAGATTTTTATTTTTTTATTTTTCTACAAAGTAGTCAAACATTTATTTTGATGTTTATTTGATGACCACATTTATTGAAAAGTAATTAGAAACAATCCTCAGTAAATAAATAAAAATAAATTACAAGTAATTTACATCTCTGCAACAACAACTTTTTCAAGAGAAGCTTCTTACTGAGGGTTGGGGGTTTAGATTTTGTGGCGACAAACAATCTACACACAAACAGACATAGAAGAAGAAAATTGTAATAAAATGTTTACCAATAGGCTTTGCTTTCCATTCAGTTATGTATTAACTTTATTATAATTCTCTATACGTTACAAATACACACATTTCCCTGAGGAAACAATTCCACTGGAAGTTCTACAGACTCAGTGGCTGATTTGTTCTAAATGCCTCTTAACGGTTTGTTTTAAAAAAAAACAGGTGATTACAGATGTCAACAACCGATATAATGTACCTTTAGGAGCATAGAGTTTCAGCATACACTTCATTGCTTTGATAGCTGTATCTGGGTAAAATATGACTTTGTGGAGGGGGAAAAACAGGAAGTATCATTTTGCAGAATAACAATTTGCAGGTTTTAGGGTTATCATTATTGATTCAAAGTTGAAGCAATAAGGTGCATCATTAGGACAGTTGAGAGAATCATTCCCCTAGCAGCAAAATAATCCCCTCTAGAGGAGAGAGGGGTTGTGATATCCACAGCAATGCATATTCTTCAGCCTGTAAATTGTGATTTTACATAAGACAGACAGTGTATAAAACTCAAAGCATCATTTACACTTTAGGTGCCAGGTGCTAGTGAAAACTAAAGACTGTCCAAATATTTCTGCCCAGAAACAATGTTTGTCGAACTGAGGTGCCAATACAATGCCTTCAGAAAGTATTCACACCCCTTGACTTTTTACAAATTATGTTACAAAGTAGGATTAAAATGGATTTAATTGTCCTTTTTTGTTAACGATCCACACACACAATACTCTGTCAAAGTGGAATCATTTTTTAAATCATTTATGAAAAATAGAACACCAATATCTTGATTAGATAAGTATTCAACCCCTGAGTCAATACATGTTAGAATCACCTTTGGCAGCGATTACAGCTGTGAGTGTTTTTTGGTCTCTAAGAGCTTTGCACACCTGGGTTGTACAATATTTGCCTATCATTCCTTTTAAAATTCTTCAAGCTCTGTCAAGTTGGTTGATGATTGCTAGACAGCCATTTTCAAGTCTTGTCATTAATTTTCAAGCAGATTTAAGTCAAAACTGTAACTAGTCCACTCAGGAACATTCAATGTTGTCTTGGTAAGCAACTGCAGTATATATTTGGCTTAGTTTATTTTTTTGGTTATTGTCCTACTGAAAGGTGAATTTGTCTCCCAGGAAAGCAGAATGAACCAGGTTTTCCTCTAGGATTTTGCCTGTGCTTAGCTCTATTCCATTTCTTTTGATCCTAAATAACTCCCTAGTCCTTGCCGATGACAAGCACACCCTAACATGATGCAGCCAACACCATGCTTGAAAATATGAAGAGTGGTACTCAGTGATGTGTTGTGTTGGATTTGCCCCAAACATAACGCTTTGTATTCAGGTCAAAAAGTTCATTTACCAATTTTTTTCCAGCATTACTTTAGTGCCTTATTGCAAACAGGATGCATGTTTTGGAATATTTGTATTCTGTACAGGCTTCCTTCTTTTCACTCTGTCAATTAAGTTAGTATTGTGGAGTAACTACAAATGTTGTTGATCCATCCTCAGTTCTCCTATCACAGCCATTAAACTCTAACGGTTTTAAAATCACCATTGGTCTCATGGCAAAATCCCTGAGCGGTTTCCTTCCTCTCCGGCTACGGAGTTAGGAAGAACGCCTGTATCTTTGTAGTAACTGGGTGTATTGATACACCATCCAAAGCGTAATTGATAACTTCACCATGCTCAAAGGGATATTCAGTCTGCTTTTTTTTCTTCTTCTACCAATAGGTGCCCTTCTTTGCGAGGCATTGGAGAACCTCCCTGGTCTTTGTGGTTGAATCTGTGCTTGAAATGTACTTTTGGACTGCGGGACCTTACAGATAATTGTATGTGTGGGGTAGTCATTCAAAAATCATGTTAACCACTATTATTGCATGCAACTTATGTGACTTAAGCACATTTTTACTCCTGTACTTATTTAGACTTGCCATATCAAAAGGGGTTGAATAGTTATTGACTCAAGACATTTCAACTTTTCATTTTTAATTAATTTGTGAAATAAATTCTAAAAACAAAATTTGACATTATGGGGTATTGTGTGTAGATCAGTGACAATCTCAATGTAATCCATTTTAAATTCAGGCTTTAACAACTAAATGTGGAAAAAGTCAAGGGGTGGGATTTTCTGAATGCACTGTATATTACATGGGATCCCTTATATTAATCATTAGATTCATAGTAACTGTTTTCAGAGTACTGAGAAGATATATTCCTCACATGACTAGATATTGGTCATAGGGCAATACGTTTTTCCTGACTGTCACCTCACCAAGCAACATTCCAGGCTTTAGAAATATAACTAGGGCCCAGTTTTTCCTGGTTAGGTCACAAGGTCAGGAATAACTTCTGGCCCTATAGTATCTGAGACAATCGCGCCTCATCATTGGCTTAAATAATAATTCTAGAAATGCCCAATAGACTCATGTCTAATTCAGGAAGATGCACACAGCATTGCTGTTCCGTAACATAGGAGAAAAAAATCCTGACATTACAAAAAAAAGTGTACAGACAACTAATCGTGACAAAACAGTACCACAAAAGGAGAGTAGAAAGCAACCCTTAGATATAAATGAAAAATACAGACTTCAGACTTCAAGCACATCTCTAAACAATATTTTTAAAGCTACATTTCAACACACAAATACTGTAAATGTACATCTCAAACAAATATACAGGTAGAGTCCATAAAAATAATAACATTAAAAGCATAATATTCCAGTCTGATTTGGAGTTCGGCTTTTTGGACCGATCTGGAAACAGATATTACTTGTTTACAACCATTTGAACATTGATTAAAATGTTCTTTACTCTTTGGGAAAGACAAAATATGGTTTGTTTTATATAATCATTCAACAAACTAACATTTGATATTGAATTTAAATAACTAAATGCCACATTTTTTAAAAAAAATCTCAAAATAACAATATGCGTATTCTACAGATATTTAGGAAAGATCCCCATAACAGAAGAAAATAACAACACCAATGTGAATAATTATTCACAAACATTGAGTAAAAATACCCTTACTAAAAGCAGAACTGTCATGGATTCAATCATAGAGTTGGTTTAGACACGTTAATTGGCACATAAGGATGTCCTCTTGCCCCTGGTCATATTGTCTATCAATGACCAATATTGCTGGATATTTCTGGAAAATTCTCTTTACTGTGCATTGTATACGCCTTTATCATTTTACCAACACACCAGAAATCATTAACAATATAATAGCGATCTGTAAGGTTTGATCATATAATCATGTATAACTAGGACATCTGTAAGTAACAACTGTTTGTTATTCCTGCCTTAACATGTAGTTCTGTCTAAAAATGTATTTTTTATTTGAACTAGCATTCTAGCGATATCTCTCAGTACTGTGTTTCTGACAAACACATTTTGGATGAACACAAACTAGGATCTCTGACGATATGTGATGATCTGCTACTATGAGGAGAAAGACTGGCTTATGTAGTAGTACACAACTGAACGGCAGAAAATATGACGTCTACAATATGGTCAACACATGAGGGTGGACAGCAATGCACACACTACATTTTATGTTATGAAATAATGTGAACCAATTTAGCTGTTGAAAATATATGGTGGCTGGTGGGCGGAGGTATAGGAGGACGGGCTCATTGTTATGGTTAGAATTAAATGGTATCAAACACGTTTAGACTTCTCTCACGTGTTTAGATGGTTCTCTCGGCTACCTCACGGCAAGCAGTACCAGTGTGCACCAAGTCTGGAACCAACAGTACCATGAACAGCTTCTACCCCAAAGCCATAAGACTGCTAAATAGTGCTGTGTGATTAACTGACATTTCGGTTATTTTTAGTTTTTTAAGCAACTAATTGACTGAAGTTGGTTCAATTATTTGAATTCCATTTCGTTCAGTTTTTATCTGTAAGCTCAATGTGCACATTGTACAGTTTCTCTAGAGATAGATCAGATCCAGCCTGGGCTGTGCGATGTAGTAGGGAGTTGTAGTTTCCAACAGGCCAATATTCTACATAGTTTAGTGCATAAACGTGGTAATTAACTACAATGACCATAATCCACTGTGCATCTACTTGTCCTTGTCCAGTCATCTACTTCTTTATTTTACACCTGCTACAGGAAGAGACAAGAATGCATGCTCGTGAGGGGCTATAGAGAGCAGCTGTTGTTTCGCGAGGTATCTCTACTTGGAAATATATGATCAAAGTGATTGATAGTTGGTATTCAGCAGTCATAAAAGTATGCCTTATTTACTTAGAAGAGCACAAAATAGTGATTTTGTTAGGCAACAGCTCTACAGAGATGAGATGATGACTTGGAATGAAATAAAGTCATCAAATAAAACAAATGTAATATACTGAAATATTTGTATATTAAAGTAATGTGAATAAAAGGTTAATAAGTGATAAGCAGTAATGGGCAGCATTCAACCCAACACGGGCACACATGCATACTGACGCCACACACACTTTCATACTCACCACATACGCTGCTGCTACTGTCTATTGTCTATCCTGTTGCCTAATCACTTTACTCCTACCTATATATACATAGCTACCTCAATTAATTCGTACCCCTGCACACCGACTCGGTACTGGCACTCCCTGTATATAGCCATGTTTTTTTTACTCCTCATCCATATTTATTCCTTGTCACTATTTCTATTATAATTTTTTATCTTTAACTCTGCATTGTTGGAAAAGGACCCGTAAGTCATAATTTCACAAAGTCTACACCTGTTGTTTACGAAGCATGTGACAAATGAAATTAGATTGTATTTGATTTGAGCCATTACAATGAACCTGTCATCCTAGAGCTCCACCCAGCAGCTACCTCTGATGGACAATGAGTATTAGCCCTTTGATTTCACTTTTGACTGTGCAGCGTGCAATGGTTATACATGCATGTTATTATGGCTATAGCGCAGTGTGCATCGGTAGTACAGTATGTGTTGCCAGTTGCACGGCTGTATGGAGAGAGCTAATGAATTTCACAATGCCATCATCATACCTTGATTCTTCTTCCATGGGAAGAAATGCAATACAGGATGACATACTTTTTTTTTTAAAGACAGTTTTTAAGCAGAGCAATGCTAGCCCATGTGAGGCCAGTTTGACATGATTTTGCAAGTCTATTCGCCTTTGGATGGTTTCTACATGCGCGGTGGGGGGGTTGCTGCTACACATGATTCCAAGCCGTTTATATGCTGCCTCTTGTGCGCACATACTGTTTCATAATACAAAAAGGTTCTGGTCAATGTTCAGCAATAATAAGCTTACAGTACTGTTGGGTAAGCAGTAGTGTTCCAACCACCATATAACAATGGCTATACGGAGCTGGGTTCATGCACATCCATGCTTCGAGTCCCCTGTATGATAATAACCATGTTAGTGGAGATGTCTGATGGCTGCTTACAAACAAAAGCAATGGGAGAAGATCTTGAGCTCCTGGGGGAATCACGGCAACAGCAACTTCAAATGTAGAAATTAGAACGAAGATTGGAGTTTGTTAGTTTGCTACATATTTCAGCAAGGGACAAAAAGCAGTGAGTCACGGGGGTCTGACTCTGCCACAAGACCCAGCCTGTGGACACCGTGGACTCTTGGACTGCAGGTGAGGAGGAAAAGGGGGGTGGATATGGAGTAGACCAGTGGTTCTCAACTGGTTTTGCCCCGGACCCAAATTAAACCAGGTTGTCTCAGTCACGACTTGATACACTATATACACACACAAAAGTATGTGGACCCCTTCAAATTAGTGGATTCGGCTATTTCAGCCACACCCGTTGCTGACAGGTGTATAAAATCGAGCACACAGCCATGCAATCTCCATAGACAAACATTGGCAGCAGAATAACCTTACTGAAGAGCTCAGTGACTTTCAACATGGCACCATCATAGGATGCCACCTTTCCAACAAGTCAGTTCGTCAAAGTTCTGCCCTGCTAGAGCTGCCCCGGTCAACTGTACGTGCTGTTATTTTGAAGTGGAAACGTCTAGGCTCAGCCGCGAAATGGTAGGCCACAGAAGCTCACAGAACGGGACCACTGAGTGCGGAAGCACGTAAAAATAGTCTGTCCTTGGTTGCAACACTCACTACAGAGTTCCAAACTGCCTCTGGAAGCAATGTCAGCACAAGAACTGTTCGTCTGGAGCTTCATGAAATGGGTTTCCATGGCCGAGCAGCTGCACTCAAGCCTAAGATCACCATGTGCAATGCCAAGCGTCGGCTGGAGTGGTGTAAAGCTTGCTGCCATTGGACTCTGGAACAGTGGAAACGCGTTCTCTGAAGTGATTAATCACGTTTCATCATCTGGCAGTCCGACTGACGAATCTGGATTTGGCAGATGCCAGGAGAACGCTACCTGCCCGAATGCATAGTGCCAACTGTAAAGTTAGGTGGAAGAGGAATAATGGTCTGGGGCTGTTTTTCATGGTTCGGGCTAGAAATATTAACATTACAGCATACAATGACATTCTAGACGATTCTGTGCTTCCAACTTTGTGGCAACAGTTTGGGGAAGGCCCTTTCCTGCTATAGCATGACAATCCCCCATGCACAAAGCAAGGTCCATACAGAAATGGTTTGTCGAGATCGGTCTGGAAGAACTTGACTGGCCTGCACAGAGCCCTGACCTCAACCCCATCGAACACCTCAACCCCACCCACTGCGATCCAGGCCTAATAACCCAACATCAGTGCCTGACCTCCCTAATGCTCGTGGCTGAATGGAAGCAAGTCCCTGCAGCAATGTTCCAACATCTAATGGAAAGCCTTCCAAGAAGAGTGGAGGCTGTTAAAGCAGCAAAGGGGGGACCAACTCCATATTAATGCCCATGATTTTGGAATGAGATGTTCGACGAGCAGGTGTTCGCATACATTTGGTCATGTAGAGCATTTGCATCGCAAAGAAAATTAGCAAAAATGCAATCTGGAAAATTATTTTTATGCTATATTGATAGTAATTGTAGCAATTATATGACAAAGGAAATCATTCAATTTTGACCATATTCTTCAGGAAGAATATTAATAAACTCACTGGTTTAAGACTACAAAATCAACCAAATCTGCTAAATAGCGCTGCTAATAGCTCTATATTGAAAATACAGTGATTGAAGAAAAATAGGTCATAGATTAAATTATTGTATTAGTTGTTTAAGTTCAGACTGGATATTTTTTTAAATAAAAAAACAAAAAGTCTTATGTTTTTTTAACTCAGTCACCTGCGACCCATTCAAAACCACCCTTGACCTAGATTTGGGTTGCGACCCACCAGTTGAGAATCGCTGGAGTAAACTATCCTTGGGATGTATTTGTGTAGTAGACCAGGGGGTGGTGGCTGGTTGAGGGGTTTGGTTGTTGGGGGTTATGTAGACCAGCCAGGGTCTGAACACTGTGATGGATCTGAGCAGCAAAGAGCATGGAGAGACCAGATACCAGAGAGGCTCTGGAGGATCCACACTCCCATTTGTCCACCCCACAAACCATTTTTACCATCACCCCATCTTTCAGAGTCTCGTTCTTTTCATAGACAACAGTTTATTTTTGTCCTTTTGGTCGTGTATGTGTGTGCGCGAGTGTGTGTATCTGCTTTAGTGAGATTGGGGGCGGGGGGGTGCTAGGAGTCGGTCATGATCTGGTAGGGGGAGTTGTTTTCTGGGGTGTTGCCGGGCGGCGGGGGATTGGCCTCGGTGGTGGTGGTTGGTTTGGGGGGCCAGTCGGGGTCCACGCTCAGCTCCTGGGCCAGGTGCATGTAGCGCGCTTTGGGTACCTTCCTCTGCCGGCAGCACAGCCACGACAGACACTTGGGTCCCCAGAGGTCTATGCCACCCTGGAAACCGCACGATAACAACAACAAGAGAGGAGGGAAAGGGGAAAAGGGCAAAGAAAACTTAATGAATATTTTTTTCCTCTGTGGATATGTTTCCTCATTCATTCTCTTTCCAATTCTCTTTCGTATTTTTAAGCCTTTAGAAGGTAGAATGATCTCACATGCTTATGTCACTACATGCACTATATAACCTAAAGAAGGTAGTGATGGTATTCAGATTGGTTCACTATTGCAGCATGCACACACATTGTTTTATAATGGTTTTTAACTGTTGAGAAAATGCTATAATTTCAACAGAAACAGTTCTTAGGTAATTCAAATTCTAGCATGGCAATACGTTTGGGGGATTGTTGTTTTTCTGCCCGAGGATTACCTCAAAACAAGCAGACATGCTAAAATGCAGTGCAACAGAGAAGGTAATTAGGATAATTTGTGACACCATGTGTGGGGCACATACCCTTCTCAGCTAGCCTGCGGTGGATACATACTGTACCTGATCTAGACCATGCGGTTTCCACTCACACTGTTAGGGGCTAACAGGGGACGCTTTGAGGCGCATGCAGCGGGAGGAGCTTACTGGAGCCAATACTGTACTACTGCTCAGGGTGTTAAATACATGGGGGAATCGTGCTACCAGAGGAGAGTAATAACACAGACAACCCACCAGGGGGCGAAAGAGGGGTCAGAGAACCGTCAGGTCTGTACATGCAAGATATGGGTAGGTTATATAATAAGAGTGCTGGGTGAGAGAAAGGAGAGAGCGAGAAGAAAAGGGGAGAGAGAAGAAAGGGGGGGGGGGGGGGATTAAAAGCGACGGTGGAAGAGGAGGAGTGTCAGATTTCCCAACCTGTGTTGTCGGGGTGGCGGGGGTGGCGCCATAGCTGCCCTGCTTGTCTCGGCTGAACACAAGCTTCCATAAGACGACGTCAAGGACGAGGGTCTATGGAATAATAGGCGCAGTGGGCAGGAAATAATTACAAAGAGTAGAGTGGCTACTTGATCACACAGCTTTCCTCAAGAAGATTTTGTCCATCCTCATTAGTTTTTTGAATAGTCAAACTATTGAATGGACATTTAGGGTGATTTCAGGGCTGTGCGTTAGTCGTGAGGAGAGGAAAAGGGGGTTATTCTCAACATAAATGAAGACAAATAAAATGAGAAAGAGGGTGTCATCATCTACAACAGGAGAATGGTGCTTTTTAAAGTGGATTTTGTTGTGTGACAGGGATCTGTTGCTGGTGACTATCCATTGAGCGTCATTGGTTGGTGTGTGGGAGGTTGGCAGCCTTGGAGAGAACGCCATCTAGTGTCACTGCTAAGCTGTGTGGGGGCTTGGGAGGCTCAAGTGGGGGGATAGAGAACTGCTCTACTGCGCAGGGCAAGCCAGGGGCATTTTCTAATAGTAAATCACCGGTGAGCCATCTCTATCATTGGGCCACACAGCTCTAGGTCATCATTTACTGCCACTTGTCTACGCTTGGCGATTGAGAGAGCAGAGCCTGGGTGTGTAACCAACCACCCAATTAGATGTAATGCGCTGAGTGGGTTACGGCGTGGCCGTCACTGTGGTGATTGCAGGTTGTATTTAAAGAAAGGGAGGAATTGTGTGTGTGTGGACAGCGCACATCTCACTTGAATGTGCGTGTGTGTGTGTGTGTGTGTGTGTGTGTGTTACCTCCACCAAGACAGACACGGCTGCATTGACTACGATGATGAAGAACAGAATGATTCTCCATTCAAACGGAACACACACAATCTAGACGGGGGAAAACAGAGAAACAGATTCACAAGAGCACATTTAAACAAAAAGTGAAGCAATGCCATGTTATTTCACAATGTCATTATTGTAGGTCCCAATTCAACCGAAGCTTGAGGCTAATATCGGTATGAAGCTCGTCTCTCATGGTTGATGTCCACTCACCTCTAGGAATTCATCGATAGCAGACACAGGGTAGAACATGATGAAGAACAGAAATATGTATAGGCCAATACAAGACACCACGAAGGGCCCTGTAGAGAAAGAGAGACGGACAGAAAAACTAATCAAACATAGGTCAGTCACACAGAAAAAGGTTGTGCAGTTCCAACCAATCTCAAACCCTAACTTGATTTTAGAACCAACACTTTTAAATAACACTTTTATCCGATTTTCAGGTGGATACGTGGGAACATTGGTGTTAGTAGGGGTCCTCACAGTTTTTGTAGCTGGGCTGTCTGAAGGGCTTCCCCTTGGAGAACACGATGGCCACGATGAGGTACTGGAAGGAGGAGACGTAGAACAGGGAGGTGTTCTCGTAGTTCTTGATGTTGTGGTCGTCCTCAGAGGAGTTGTGTTTCGGGGAGAAGTTGGCATGGGGGGACGGGTTGCAGGCACTGGGAGAGGAGAGAACAGGGATACACACACAGTCATATGTATATCGGGAAGCAGCTTTACAAGTCAAAAGCTGGCTGGCGACACCCCTACTGTTTGCAGTAATGATATACAGTAAGACATTCACGGTATATGGGAATGATGTTACTGTGTTTACAGTTGGCTTATTGGTTTGTTTTGAGTCTGGTAGTGTCTTCTCATGGGTCCATTGTTACAGGTGTCTTATTGGTGTGTTTGCACTGGAACGGTTGTCTTAATGGTGATTCATTAGTGATTTTAAATTGTTACTGCTATCCCCCAATGGTGTGTTTTGAATAGGTCCAGTAGTTAGCTTGGGGGTTGAACTTGGACTCACTCTGACTGTGGCGTCCAGATGTGGTACCAGGCCTGGTGTCGGACCCAGAGGAAGGCGATGGTCTGGAAGCCTAGACAGATGAGGATCTGAGTAAGCACGGAGAACAGCAGAGGGCCTGAGATCAGACCTGAGGGGGGACGCCTTGACACCAGCTCATTCCACGCTGGGTTCAGAGACACTGGACAGAGAAGGTGGGAGAGGCAATGACAAAGAGACAGGGAAGTAAGTAAGGAACCGGAAGATAGGATGGTAGAGAGAGTGAAGTACCAACCCAGCAAAGCTAGTAGTAGATCAAACATTAATCTAAAGGACAAGTTCACTTTTTTCTGCAATTTCACTTGGTTTTGAGAAATGTAGCAACAACATTTAAAGACCTGCATCACTATACTGAGAGCTTTGTCGTTTCTAAAATAAAGTATTTGGGTGTTTTTGGAAACTTTGTTAATGTTTATCCGTGGCCCCCATACTGCAGAACGAGCAATGAGGAAGTATATTGCTGGTGGGGTAAGTTTCTCAAAACCAAGTGAAATCGCAATAAAAGTATCTGGACACTTGTGGACAAGTGTCAAACTAATTAGTGTTGCTCTACTTACTGGTGAAGACGATGAGGAGGATGATAGCGATGTCTATAAAAAGGAACTGGAAGTCTCCCAGGTTACTGAGGATCTGACATGGTTACAGAGAGATAAGGTCAGAGGTCAGCTACTGTATATACCAGAGACTAGTAATATCCTCACAGGAGTGCAGAAACTAAGGGAGGGGTACTGTACTCACAGAGTAGAGCAGGGTGACACTGATGTACTGGATGATGCTGTAGAGGGCCATGAACTTGAACACACAGAAGGAGGTGATGAGAGCCGCTCGCCCTTCTCTGTGAAGAGATAAATAGTTTCTTTTTTAGGAGCAATCAAGTGAGTCAGCATGCAAGTGCTTTTATAAGGCTGACTGATCAGTCTCCAAGCTTGGCAGTAGGCTGGTGTTAGTTTGTTAGCCATGTTTAGCTGATGGGTAATATTCTGGTGCTCGAGGCCCAGAGCAGGCCTACCTGATGAGGCTGGGCACACAGGAGATGTTGGGGGTCCTGGAGGTGAAGGGAGAGGCTACAGATGCCTCCAGCTCAGAGAGAGAGATCCCTCCATGAGCCTTCTTCAAAGCCTAGAGAGCGAGGGAGGCGGTGTAAAAAGTCAAAAGAAACATTAAGCAAATTTGAGCAATAACATAGTATTTTTACTTCTACCTGCATGATCATTTGACAACAAAAATGCTTTCAAAAGAGGTCTGTACTTACACCACAATCATTTGCACCGTCTCCACACATGCCCACAAAATAGCTGCAGATGAGAAAAGATACGATCATTTACTGTTTGCAAATGTAATGTACAAAATGTGTAAACGAATGCAATTTTTGTTCAATATTTGAACAGATTTATGAAGAGGGTGAGAGTGTGTACTGTGCTATTTGTGCCCATGTGTCAGTAGTGTCTCTACTCACTCCACACCCTGCAGTGCCTCAATGAGCTGGGTCTTCTGGTCGGGGGCCATTCGGGCAAACACTGTGCCACGCAGCACCAACTAAATCAGATAGGCCGACAACAATGCATTAGACACAACCAAATCACAACAGCAATAGCTATGTGTTTATTGGGGAATGGGGGGGTAGTGTTACAGTGACTTCGGTCCCCCGTTACCTTCTGTAGCAGATCCTGAAAGTGCTCAGTGATGACAGCGAAGGACTTGCCACTCATGGCGAAGTGGTACTGGTCCTGAGACTTGGGCTCGTCAGTGTGACACACATCCTCTAGACTGATCTCTACTTCCTGTTGGGACAGGAAGGGGCGGGGGTAAGCAGGTAAAGGTGAGATAGGGAAGAATGACATCTGGCAAATTATTGATACAACATGGCTTATGTAGAGTAACAATTGTTCAAGTTAGCGACTAATAACTTCAGTTTCCATCAGTGTTAACTTTGGCACTCTTTTCTGACTAAAATATAATTAAGTCTTAGTCAAATGTTTTACATTCAAATAATGATTATCTAGTTATTGTCAAAATGAAAAAAACTGTGGGCCATTTTAGTAAACTAAATACACTTTCATTTTAGTCACATCACATGTGTATTGCCTCATTAACCTATAGTAAACATAAATCACTGACTTCCATGTGCAAACATGCATAGCGTTGTCCTACTAATATATTTTTCTGCATAACATCCTATTCTCTGCCCAACAGCAGAAATATGACAAACATATATAAGAATTATGTGGCCATGTAAATTCCTAATTCAGCCTACATAGATATTGTACATTACATACAGAACAAACAGACATACACAAGTGGAGAGCGAGAAGCATAATCACCAGATGGTACCGCAAAGTATTGGCAAAGTAGCATGGGTTGCACCTCTGTCACGTCACTGGCATTGTTATCAACGTTTCACAGACAACGCAGCCACATTGGTGTCCAAAAGTAGAATGGGAGCTAATGACTGTTTCGCCCAGTGATGTAGTCGAGTCACTAAACCTAGAGTCCGAATCGAGTCCCAAGTCCCCTGTGCTCGAGTCTGAGTCCAAGTCCAAGTCCTAATCACTAATGGTTGAGTCACGAATCTCTTTGGCTGAAGTCTGAGTCCCAGTGCTCGAGTCCTGGTCCAAGTGCTCAAAAAAAACGTAGTGCCGGTATTATGGGTCATATCCTTTGAACCGTAAGGGCTAAAATCAAGCTGTTTCTCTGAGGAAAAGAGGGAGACTTGGCTACAGAACCTGCCTATGAAATGCAGTGGGGAAAGTGGGAAATTAATACAAATTCAAAGACAGCCTATTTTTCTATACACAAGGGAGAGAAAAGCATAGCTAGACTGTTGTTTTACTTTTAAACTCAATGCCGCTATTGTTTTTAATTTCGTAAAGCAGCTTGTGTTTCTTAACCAGGCAAAGGGTAGCCAACTAGAAAGCTGGTGGTGACTGGTTAGATACGGGAAGCAAAAGAGTCGCCTGCGCAATGTGTAGAATCAGAGGCGGGGCCTGTCTGCGTCATCGCTTGCTCCCCCGCAGCTCACCTGATGTAGGCTGTATGTGTCGGGTGTGGTGCGTCCTTCCCACTGCTGAACAGAACTGCGCTGCGCATCTGTGCTGCTAATATTAATTGTGCTCATCACTGAAAAGCTCTCAATCTCTCCAAAAACTTCTGTCCAGTCCACTTAGTAGTCCGATTTTAGTCACAGAGAGAATTTATTCTTGTCTCGTTTTAGTAAACTGAAATGAAAAATATTTTTCGTTTCGTTTTTTTCTGGGTCTATTTAGTCAGTTATAGTCTTGTCAATTGCCACTGAAAAATAGGTGTTTGACAAATATTTTTGTCACTATATTTGTTGACAAAATTACCACTGGTTCCCATATAAACTAATGTGGAGACCTTATAGGGATTTGGCAATGAAGCCCTATACCTTTATGTGGTCCTCTGTAGCTCAATTGGTAGAGCATGGCGCTTGTAACGCCAGGGTAGTGGGTTCGATCCCCGGGACCACCCATACGTAAAAATGTATGCACACATGACTGTAAGTCGCTTTGGATAAAAGCGTCTGCTAAATGGCATATTATATTATTATATTATCTACTTCCTCAGAGTCAGATGAACTAAGGATACCATTTTTATGTCTCAACGTCCAGTATGAAGGAAGTTAGAGGAAGTTTCGTGAGCCAATGCTAACTAGCGTTAGCGCAACGACGAAGTCTACAAGACTTCCAGTCATTGCGCTAATGCTAGTAAGCAATTGCACTAACGCTGGTTAGCAACTTCCTTCAAACTGAACAACACATATAAATAGTATCCACAAGTTCATCAGACTCTGAGGAAGTAGATAAAGGGCTTCATTGCCAAAATCCCAAACTATCCCTTTAAGGTATGCAAGTAAATATACATATTCCTGATAGCATCTAGACACAATCTGAAACAATGACTGGCTGGCTGTGTGACCTCCATGTGTGCCATTGTCTGGAACACAGAACACACCCATTCATTCATCCATTCCTGCTGCGTGTGCTCACTGGGCTATTTCTGAGTTCTGATGTGACCCTGCATGGCTCTCATTGGAACTGAGGGGGATCAGAGCAACTAGCTTAATCATGACTCATACAGACCCACAGAGGGCACTCACATATGTGTGGGGGGTGTGTGTCTGTTTTCCATGTCTCACTCACGCAGCATCTAGACAGTGTGTGTCTGTCTGTCTGTCTGTCTGTCAGTCAGAGCTGTAATTAGCCACACCCACCACCAGGGGTCCATCTCTCACCTCCAGGCGTGGGGCTTTGCCCGAATGTTTGCTGGGGTTGTCTGCGTAGCGCCAGCTGATCTTGGCCAACTGACCATCTTTGGAGGGCAGCGCGTCGGCGATGATGACCCGGTCCTGAGGGGGGATCATGCCACAGTCCCTGGCCACCGAGATGGCCGTCAACATATTGTCACCTGGAGGAAAGGAGATATGTTAAATGTTACCCTTAGGCATTAACCATTATTTGGGGGGGGGGGACACAAAACAGATCTCAGATCATTGCACAAGAGGCTACCGCATCCTATTCCCTGAAGTGTGAGACACAGGGGGGTATTGTCCTGGCGCTATGCTCTTTGTGACATTCTAAACCTGGGTAGGGGTTGGAATGGGGCGGCCTGGGCATACTGGCTCTGGACCAGCGGTCCGCATGACAGGCCACGGGTTAGTGAGAGGGGTTGGCTGGAAGTGAAACCATATAATTGTGTGATTACATTTCCAGTGCTGAAAGCGACAGAGGGAGAGAGAGAGACACCGGGCTGGACTTTGGCGATTTCTGCCCGTTAAGCTGCAAGGCCCTGAACTTTATTAGTCTGGATTCCAGGAATACCTCCATAAAGCTTTGACAACCACAACAAAAACCCAAAGCTCCTCATAGCCACTCGCACATTCTCTGTGTGCGAGGCATGGCTACAGTATGAGTGGGCACTAGTGGTTGTCATTAGAGAGTGACAACCTCTCATGTCTGATAGTGGTCCTGTATGGCTCGGTTGGTAGAGCATGGCGCTTGCAACGCCAGTATTGTGGATTCGATTCCCAGGGCCACCCATATGTAAAATGTATGCATGCATGATTATAGTCGCTTTGGAAAAAAGCATCTGCTAAATGGCATATAAATTAAAAATATAAAAAGACATAATACCTGAGGCAAGGGCGCTGTCCTAATACTTTTTAAATGCCTCCTTCCTCCCTCCTTTCCTTGATGTAACTCATCACTGATCCAAGACCATTGGCATCCAAGTCTACTGAAAGGCTTTCACAGATCCAATCAAGTCAGATCAGTGATGACTTCCAAGGGAGGGAGGATGCATTTGATGTTTTACTGAATGTCTGTGTATGTTTATATGATAAACATGTTGGTGTGCCAGCTTTCTCACCAGTGACCATGACAGTGCGGATGTGTGCCCTGCGGAGGTCCTCCAGTACCCCGGGGGTCTCTGCCTTAAGCTTGTTCTGCATGACGATCAGACCCAGGAACTCCATGTTGACCTCGATGTGGTCCCTGTTGACATTCTGGACTTTGTGCCAGGTGAGTTTGGACTCGAGGCGGCGGTGGGCCAGGGCTATGACCCGGAAGCCCTGCTTGGTGTAGTCCTCCAGAACCTCTGCAAAGTCCTCTGGAACTACACAGACAGAGAGATGGTTTAGAAAACATCTTCAAAATGAAAAATTCCAGGGAGCAAAATCTTTTACTTAAACTGCTCGTCTTTATCATGGCATTGGCATCATGTCAATACACCATTCATATGAAGTGCCCATGATTTTCACGCTTGGTTAGTCCAAGGCTACAACTGAAAAGCAGAGCATTCGTTTGTTACTATACTGGTCGTAACTTCTTCTCAATAGGAGCGTCTGCAAAATGTATTGTCAAATTCAGAGTAAATAGTTAAGACACCAACCAGTGTCTTTCTTGCAGAGGCTGGCCACCACCTCTGGCGCGCCCTTGAGGTAGGCATCCATGCGCTTCTCCCCCAGCAGACGGGCTACCACACACATCCTCTGCAGCGCCGAGGAGAAGGGGAACTGACGCACAATACCAATCTCATAGGCCAACTATATGGGGACACAATACACAGAATTACCTTCCACCTCTAAGTCAAACTACAAGAAATATTAAAACAAGATATAGCGCTACTTACCGACAAGTCATACAGCTCCTACAGTGTGAAAGTGAAGTAAACAGAGTGAATGTACAATCAAAACAGTGCATTTCAAAGAATGTGACAGGTGAGAGGAACATAGAAAGTGTGAAAGGTGAAAACCTAGATACCATTCAGAGCTATGATTAACATGAAAGTAAGGAACTTAATATTTTACACATTAGCAAGAGCTAACAGCAACAGACCAAATCAACATGTGATGAGTGAGACATGATCAATGCTGAGGGTGGATGTCCATTGGAGGCAGCACTGAGCCTTGTTCGTACCATGTCCTGTTCAGGTGACATGACAGGCTCGGGGGGCATCAGCTGTTTGGGGGGCCGCACCACGGTGGGCGTGATGCGGTTGTGGAGGGAGGTCTCCTCCTCAGTGGCCTCCTCCAGGATCTGACAAGGAGAGTAGGGAGGAGTAAACATGAAAGAAACTCTAAGCTGCATCGAAAGTGGATATTTCAACTGACCAACATCTCAAAATGGACCCATAAGTGTGATCGGCACAACATTGAAAGTCCGTTGGAAACAAATATGTGTTCCGAAAATAACATTAAGATGTAAGAAATAGTAAGCCGGAAAATCTCTCAAAGCAACTTCTCCACTATACTTTCGACATATCTCTGCATGAAACACATTGGTTGGGTAAAGAAAGAGTGAAGGACACAGAGGTTAGAGGTTAAAGGTCCAGTTTCAGTCACTCACCCAACCTGTGGCCTCAAACATCTTCAGGTCCAGAGGGTCTCCGGACAGCTGGCCATCGATCTTGGTAAGAGAGTGGCAGGTGGCCATGCAGGCTACAAACTGGGACTTGACCAGACTCTCCTTGTAGGCATTCTCCTCTGACAGGTGGAAAGTGCCATTCTCCACTCTCTGGACTCCCCATAAGTCTAGTCCATCCTCTGTGAGTGTACCCGTCTGAGGAGAGAGGAACAGAGATGGTGAATAGGGGAGAAGTAAATATAGAGAAGTAACTGTTAAGCAGGGTGATTACCATATCAGATCACCAGACCACAACACAACTAGTTTCCCAAGCATAGCCTCTCCACTGCTAGTGTGTGTGTGTTTGTGTGTGTGTGTGTGTGTGTGTGTGTGTGTGTGTGTGTGTGTGTGTGTGTGTGTGTGTGTCCACCTTGTCGAAGCAGACGAGGTTGAGCTGGCCACAGATGTTGATCCTCTGGGGGCTGATGCAGAATATGCCGATGCGTTTGAGGCGGCGCTGGGCGTACACGATGCCCGCCGTCATGGCAGCGGGCAGTGCAGGGGGCACGGTAATGGTGATGATGTCCAGGGACTCGATGATGATGGTCTTGGCTGGCACCTGGGCCACAGTAGAGGAGAGGGCAAGAAAACAATTCCAATACAATAGGAGTTCATGTAGGTATTGAATTGGACGTGAAGCTAAATAGCCATAGTCTTTTTCAGTTCAACTCCATTTTACAATTAAATGCTTTGACCACAATCCACTGACCTAGACACCTTCTACACCATCTAAAGGACTAATCACTCTCCCTCTTCCCTGCCGCACTTTCTCTTTCTCCCCAGCCTAGCAGTAGCCCAGTGAGAGCGTCCTGTTCTGTTCAGTCCAGTACCTTGTTCATGATGCTGAGGACGATGGAGTAGACAAAGCCGATACCGGCTATAGCCACCAGGCACAACAGGAAGAGGTAGGCATCGTGGTACAGCTTGAAATCTGTGGGCTTGGGGTAGAGGATGGAGCGAACCAGCTGGCCCTTAGCTGTGCTGAAACCTGGAGGACGATGAGGAGGAGGAGCATGTTTAGATGATAGCAGAATTCAGAATATGACAACTGAGGGCAGATCATGATCAAACAAAAATAATATAGGTATTGTGTGCGTGTGTGTTGTGACTGAGGACACACACACTAACCTGTGCGGACCACCACTGCCTTGACCAGCTCCCCTGAGTAGAAGCGGGTCTGGATGATGTGCGTGCCACAGAAGAGGGTGTGTCTCTTGTGCTCCTCCATGCTGTAGGCCTCGTCGCCCTCCTTGTCCCCCTCGCCCGGGTTGGGGAGGTTGGTCTTGGTGACGGGCACACTCTCGCCTTGGGGGAGGAGGGAGGAGAGACAGGGACAGGAGGGGGGAGCGAGGAGGGGAGACTGAGTTTAAGTCTGGGAGCTTTGGTGCCTTGCCGAAGTATACAGCATGTACAGAGTGTAGTGTTGTGTGCGGCTTTGCACAAATGTAAAATATAAATTATGTATTTGGAAAGTGACCAGCAGTGACACACAGAGAGGGACAGAGAGCAGGCAGGATCTCCGGGTCTCACCCGTCAGCATGCTCTCGTTGACAATGCAGGTGCCACTGACCAGCACCGCATCGCACGGCATGATGGTCCCGTTGCTAGGGATGACCATGACATCGCCGGGCACCAGGTCAGTGGATAGGGCCTCCTCGATGTCTGCGATGATCCAACACAAATGGGAGGAGAGAGGGAGTAGGTGTGGAGACAGGGGGGAGAGGATGGGGAGGGAGAGAGAGGAAGGGAAAGTAGAGGAGGGAGGTAGGGAGAGGGAGAAAAGGAGAGGTATTCTGTGCGTCAGTCTTGTTCAGCACATCTCTCATTACTCTTGCCACTCTGGGCAGCAGGGGAAAAACGCTGAGGCATCATATGCACAGCCTGAGCCCACTGCCGCAGACACACAAAAAAAGGTGTGCTGTTCTAGCGGCTAATTGAACACTAGCCAAAGTGCATAAAATCTAAATGAGGTATATTAGACAAACCGTTGTTGGCTCTGCAGACTGAAACTCGGACAATACTGTGTGCTGCCACCATGTCATGAAGCATGACATATTGCTGAAAAGGAGAGAATAGTTTCAGAAAACAGAAAATGAGCAGAACCACACATCAGGTGCTAGAAAAACAGGCCTCTAGCTAACAGCTTCCAATTTCCCTCAGGGTAACAGAGAAGCCTCCACCCCTCCCCCTCTCTCTCTACCTATGCGGTGTGATTGTAAGAGGGTGAACCCAGGGCCTCGGGGGCAGCAGACCATACAGATGGGCCCTTTCATGCAGACCTGAATGATTCTGGGATTAGAGTGGGGAGGGGGCTATCACGGTTAACTCTGGGTTAGTCCAGCTCAGTTGGGCTCAGGCTGGTTCAGCAAGGCCCCAGATTCACCTCTTAATTTGGATTATTTCCTTGGTTGAGAAAGGGGAGAAAGACAAAATAATGGAAGGTGAGGGGGGGGGGGGGGCAGACGTACCTTTTTAATGGTGTACAGAGAGGTAGCTATGGATATGACCGACATGAAGACGATGGCTACGGCATAGTAGTAGTACTCGTCAGCGCTCCACAGGATCACACTGAAGAGCTGGAAGATGTAGAAAGGGTTGAGGACCTGCAGGAGGAGAGAGAGGGTGACAGGTGGTTCAAACAACTTCTTCAAAACAACAAGCTGCAACAAATGATATCCATTTTGACATAATGCTTGATTAAGACAGGCTTAACCAGTCATGGTTTGGCTTAATAGTGTGAAGAGGGTATAAATGAACGCCAAATATCCCTTGATTGACACATATGGTTCAATGTGTTTCTTTATACAGAGCGCACAACAGAGAGAGCAAGAGAGCGATGGAGACTGTCGCAGAGAGTGTGAGGTCAGAAAGAGCGAGAGACGTCAGAGCGATAGACAGACAATAAGGAGATGAGAGGAACTGCGGAGGTGGAAAATGCTGTTTGTACTGCCATTGTTGGCCCTGTTCACTCATTAGACTAAAGACAACCTCCCTGCAACAACTCAGAATCTAAATATGGCCAGACAATATATATTTTTTAAACCTAGTTGGCTTCCATTCAACAGAATGTTCTCATTAGAATGCCACGCACAGGCGCTCTTGGATATGATTCTCATTATTTTTATCATTACAGATGTAGGATCTTAATTTGATCACCCTGTTGCAGGAGAGCTTTCCTGCAATGCAGGACATTTTAAACTTGTAGTGTATTTGAGGTTTAAAAGGGTTTCTGAAGTTTGTAATTTCCACTTTGAAATTTCAGACTTGATTTTCCCTCCCGAAAAATGTATCAACCCCACAAAAATGTCCATTCATTAAATTCACATAATAATTCAAATGTCCTGTTGCTGCAGGATTATTTTTCTGCTGTAGCAAACAGGCTCAAATTAAGATCCTACATCTGTATCATGATCTCAGATAAATTAGCTATTGATTTCCATATGTACCTTTGGATGTAAATTATTACAAACGTGTACAAAATATTAGGAACACATTAGGAACCCTTTCCTAATATTGAGTTGGACTCCCTTTTGCCCTCAGAACAGTCTCAATTTATCGGGGCATGGACTCTACAAGGTGTCGAAAGCGTTTCACAAGGATGCTGGCCCATGTTGACTCCAATGCTTCCCACAGTTGTGTCAAGTTGGCTGTATGTCCTTTGGGTGGTGGACCATTCTTGATACACACCGAAAACTGTTCAGCGTGAAAAACCCAGCAGCGTTGCAGTTCTTGAAACACTCAGTCACTTAAATATTTTGTCTTGCCCATTCACCCTCTGAATGGCACACATACACAATCCATGTCTCAATTGTCTCAAGGCTTAAATATCCCTCTTTATCCTGTCTCCTCCCCTTCATCTACATTCATTGAAGTGAATTTAACAGGTGATAATAATAAGGGAGAATAGCTTTCACCTGGATTCACCTGGTCAGTATGTCATGGAAAGAGGTGTTCCTAATGTTTTGTATGCTCAGTGTAGGCTTATGATATCAATTAGTTCTCAGAGAAAATGAAAAAGGATCTATGGCAAGAACATCAAGCATCCTTTAAAATCAGATCAAATCAAATTTTATTTGCCACATGCGCCGAATACAACAGTGAAATGCTTACTTACAAGCCCTTAACCAACAATGCAGTTAAGAAAAGAAAAAAAAGTGTTAAGAAAAAAAATAGATCAGTAAAAAATAAAAAATTGCAAATAATTAAAGAGCAGCAGTAAAATAAAATAACATTAGGGAGGCTATATACAGGGGGTACCAGTACAGAGTCAATGTGCGGAGGCACCGGTTAGTCGAGGTAATATGTACATGTGGGTAGAGTTAAAGTGACTATGCATAAATCATAAACAGAGTAGCAGCAGCGTAAAAGAGGGGGTGGGGGGGCAATGCAAATAGTCCGGGTAGCCATGATTAGCTGTTCAGGAGTCTTATGGCTTGGGGGTAGAAGCTGTTAAGAAGCCTTTTGGACCTAGACTTGGCGCTCCGGTACCGCTTGCCATGCGGTAGCAGAGAGAACAGTCTATGACTAGGATGGCTGGAGTCTCTGACAATTTTTAGGGCCTTCCTCTGACACCGACTGGTATAGAGGTCCTGGATGGCAGGAAGCTTAGCCCCAGTATATGTACTGGGCCGTACGCACTACCGTCTGTAGTGCCTTGCGGTCGGAGGCCGAGCAGTTGCCATACCAGGCGGTGATGCAACCAGTCAGGATGCTCTCGATGTTGCAGCTGTAGAACTTTTTGAGGATGTAAGTAGTGGATATGAATACCTTATTCCCATTGAAACCCCAAAACCTCTCCTACCTCTTTGATTAGCAGCTTGAAAACTGAAGGCACTTTCACTGCAATTTCATTCACTCCGAAAAACAGTCTCCTGTGGGAAAGAATGAGAGAAAGGTTCAACATTTAGTTCAAACACTAACAACTCATTACACTATAACAAACAGTTGTAAAGGGTTGTAATAAAACCCTTGATAAGGTGTGACACTGACAGTGCTACATTAAGTAGGTCAGAGTCCCACTCTCAACACACACACACTAGACGCTGGGTAAGTGACACATGGGGAGCAGTAGGCCAGTTCTGGGCAGACTGACAGCAGGGCTATTATAAGGTGTTGTCAGGGCTTTGTTAGGTGACTGGGCTATGGATGTCCGGTCGTCTAAGGTGACAGAGGTACTGCTGTGGCCGGCAGTTATGAAGTCTGGCACTGGGGGATGGGGGTGGTGAATCTATCATAGGAAGGGCAAACCCCAGGGTTATTCAATAAGCTGTAGTAGTTGCTGTAGTCCGGAATCCAGTTGAGGGTAAAGTGTAATAGTATACCTGTACTCCTGCTGGTTGCTGGTGAGCCCCGTGCTGTGTTCTGAGTGGATGTTGGAACAGGTCACCTCCAGGTCCTCCAAGCCCCTGTGGTGTGTGTGTGGGCACGCATGTATGAAGGAGGGGAAACAAGAGTCCTCCATTGGAACACATTTGCTTGGATACACACACATTAAAAAAACAGAAATATCACATTTACATAAGTATTCAGACCCTTTACTCAGGACTTTGTTGAAGCACCTTTGGTAGCAATTACAGCCTCGAGTCTTCTTGGGTATGACGCTACTAGCTTGGCACACCTGTATTTGGGGAGTTTCTCCCATTCTTCTCTGCAGATCCTCTCAAGCTCTGTCAGGTTGTCGCTGCACAGCTATTTTCAGGTCTCTCCAGAGATGTTTGGTCGGGTTCAATTTCGGGCCTCTGGCTGGGCCACTCAAGGACATTCAGAGACTTGTCCGAAGACACTCCTGCGTTGTCTTGGCTGTGTGCTTAGGGTCGTTGTCCTGTTGGAAGGGGAACCTTGACCCCAATCTGAGGTCCTGAGCGCTCTGTAGCAGGTTTTCATCAAGGATCTCTCTGTACTTTGCTCCGTTCATCTTTCCCCTCGATCCTGACTAGTCTCAGTCCCTGCCGCTGAAAAACATCCCCGCAGCATGATGCTGCCACAATCATGCTTCACCGTAGGGATGGTGCCAGGTATCCTCCAGACGTGACGCTGGGCATTCAGGCCAAAGAGTTCAATCTTGGTTTCATCAGACCAGAATCTTGTTTCTCATGGTCTGAGAGTCATTTAGGTGCCTTTTGGCAAACTCCAAGCGGGCTGTCATGTGCCTTTTACTGAGGAGTGGCTTCCGTCTGGCCACTCTACCATAAAGGCCTGATTGGTGGCATGCTGCAGAGATGGTTGGCCTTCTGGAAGGTTCTCCCGTCCCCACAGAGGAACTCTGGAGCTCTGTCAGAGTGACCATGGGGTTCTTGGTCACCTCCCTGACCAAGGCACTTCTCCACTGAATGCTCAGTTTGGCCATACGGCCAGCTCTAGGAAGAGTCTTGGTGGTTCGTTCTTTTTTATTTGCAAACATTTCTAAAAACTTGTTTTTTCGCTTTGTCATTATGTGGTATTGTGTGTAGATTGATAAGGCTGTAACATAACAAAATGTGGAAAAAGTGAAGGGGTCTGAATACTTTCCGAATGCACTGCAACTTCAGAAAAGTTTCCAGGTCACTGAATATAATTATGGTCCGTTAAATTGCTTACGTTAATACTTCAAAATTCTGGACCTCGTCGTTCCAGTAGTACTTTGTGCTATGGAGTGTAAAATAGCGAATCTGAAAAAAAAGACAACGTTATTAACAGAAGTTTTTAACAGAAACTTTGTGTGCCCCCCCCCCCCCCCCAATTGACCATGAAAGTGTATACTTTTGTGAGCGTGTGAGACAGAGACAGGTAAAATAATTAAAAAGACCATCCATGTATCCATGCGTGTTATTGTGTGTGCCATCACGTGTTATTACCTGAGTGGGCTGGTACTCGGCGTACTTCCTGTTGAACTCCTGGGCGGGGCTGTCTGAGGGGTGGGGGGAGTGTCCGTTGGCCATGGGGGGAGTGGTCTGGGTCTCCAGGCTGTCAAAGGGGTTCCTCCCGGGGGCCAGCATCACACGCACCTTGGCTAGGAACCAGCGCTTAAACTCATCCTGAGAAACACACACTTACACCATCAGCTGTGACAGGTTCTCTTGTATTCCCGTACTTAGTGAAGAAAAAAAAAAAAAGCCTTTGTATGTGAACAGCTTATGATTCATTGAGGGAGAGTTTGCTCTTGTAAATTTTGATGCATTATCCTGGTTTTGTATTTTTCTACCCACAATGCTCATTGACGGGACATTCTAAATTACCATGACAATTATTCATCACAATAGTAATATTAATCCACGGTAGAGTATCAACTGAACTGCTGCGCTTATAGTCTATGGCGGGCCTGTGCGTAAAATCTCATGATGACCCACTGCCCTGTAATCCCCCACTCTTAAACTAACCCTAAAATCCTTTCAAATAAAGCAAGGTATATAAATGAGTCAAATAAGCACTAGATTAAAACATAGGCAACAAACGTGAGCTGGTAGACTACACACACTAGAGAGGTGTAAATTACACCTCCACGCTTTGATGTGGTCGCATCAGTGCGAGCTACAAATTCTAGCTGTCTCAGGCGCCACTCCAGAATCTCCCATAAGTGTTCAATTGGGTTGAGATCTGGTGACTGAGATGATCATGGCATATGGTTTACATCATTTTCATGCTCATCAAACCATCCAGTGACCACTCAAGCCCTGTGGATGGGGACATTTGTCATCCTATGGGGGCATAGCCAAGGTAGCCAAAATAATGGCCTGCCCAGAATTTTATACATGTCCCTAAGCATGATGGGATATAATTGCTTAATGAACTCAGGAACCACAGCTGTGTAGAAGCACCTGCTTTCAACATACTTTGTAGCCCTCATTTACTCAAGTGTCTCCATTATTTTGGCAGTTACCTGTACAGTGCCTTCGGAAAGTATTCAGACCCCTTGACTTTTTCCACATTGTTACATTACAGCCTTATTCTAAAATTGATTAAATAAACCATTTTCCTTAGCAATCTACACACAATACCCCATAATGACAAAGCGAAAACAGTTTTTTAGAAATGTTAGCAAATTTATTAAAAATAATCAAACAGAAATACCTTACAGTGGGCTCCAAAATTACTGGCACCCCTGACTAGAAATGCACAAACAATACTTTAGAAAATATAAACAATATAATTATAGAGATAAACTCAAAATACCAACATGTGAGAAATACTGTACTTAATGTTTCAGTGGAACCAACCAAAATCATACAATTATTTAATACAAAATAAATGTCACCAATATCAAGGTTTCATAATTATTGGCACTCCTCATTTAGTACTTAGTGCAACCATCTCTGGCAAGGATAACAGCACGGAGTCTTTTCCTGTAATGTTTGACAAGGTTAAGGAACACATTTGGAGGGATTTTGGACCATTCCTCTATGCAGATCCTTTCAAGATCCTTCACATTATTGGGTTTGCGCTTATCAACTGCCCTCTTCAACTCAGCCCACAGATTTTCGATTGGATTGAGGTCCGGCGACTGAGATGGCCATGGCAGAACTTTGACTTTGATGTCACAGAACCATTTCTGTGTGGATCTTGAGGTATGTTTTGGGTCATTGTCTTGTTGGAAAGTCCACCTACGGCCAAGTCCCAGCCTTCTGGCAGAGGCAACCAGATTGTCAGCCAAAATTGCCTGATACTTGGTGAAATTCATTATGCCATCAATCTTAACCAGTGCCCCTGGACCTCTGGAATTAAAAACAGCCCCAAAACATCACTGACCCACCACCATATTTCACTGTGGGTATGAGGTGCCTCTCCTTGTATGCATCTCTGTTTCGACGCCAAACATGCCGATGCTGTATCTGACCAAAACGTTCAATTTTGGTCTCATCTGACCAGAGCACCTTCTTCCAGTCATAATTTAAATGACGTTTGGTAAACTCCAAGCGCTTGCGTCTGTGTCTTGGGGTCAGAAAGGGCTTTCTTCTGGCAACCCTTCCAAAGAGCCTGTGGTTGTGGAGGTGGCGTCTGATGGTGCTTTTTGAAACCTGGTGACCCAAAGACGCCACCAAGGCCTGCAATTCTTTCATAGTGATTCTTGGGGATTTTGTTGCTTCTCTCACCATCCTCCTCCCTATCCTGGGGGGCAAAATGTATTTGCGTCCTCTACCCGTGAGGTTTTCAACTGTTCCATATCTTTTTTATACTTTTAATAATTGCCCTGACAGTGCTCAGTGGTATATTCAATCATTTGTGGCTCTTCTTGTAGTCATTACCAGATTTATGAAGGTCTACAACCATCTGTCTGTCTCTTTTGAACTGCCAGTTCTTTTGTTTTCTTCATGGTGTTGGATGACAAAGGGATATTGCATGCGTGTTACCTCATTTTTATACCCTAGTGAAACAGGAAGTGAGGTATTGGCTCAATATAGTTTTTGTGGAATTTAATTCCTGGTTTAAATTTTGGTAGATGTTATTTACAATAATCTTTAAGGGTGCCATTAATTGTGAAACCAATAAATGATTTTGGTTGGTTCCATTGAAACATTAATATAGTACAGTATTTCTCACATGTTGGTATTTTGAGTTTCTCTATAATTATATTGTTTATATTTTTTTAAGTATTGTTTGTGCATTGCCAGTCAGGGGTGCCAATAATTTTGGAGCCCACTGTATTTACATAAGTATTCAGACCCCTTGCTATGAGACCCAAAATTGAGCTCAGGTGCATTCTGTTTCCATTGATCATCCTTCAGATGTTTCTACAACTTGATTGGAGTCCACCTGCGGTAAATCCAATTGATTGGACATGATTTGGAAAGGCACACACCTGTCTATATAAGGTCCCACAGTTGACTGTGCATGTCAGAGCAAAAACCAAGCCATGTGGTTGAAGGAATTGTCCGTAGAGCTCCGAGACAGGATTGTGTCGAGGCAAAGATCTGGGGAAGGGTACCAAAAACATTCTGCAGCTTTGAAATTCCAAGAACACAGTGGCCTCCATCAACTTAAATGGAAGAAGTTTGGAACCACCAAGACTCTTCCTAGAGCTGGCCGCCCAGCCAAACTGAGAAATCCGGGGAGAAGGGCCTTGGTCAGGGAGGTGACCAAGAACTGGCACCATCCCTATGGTGAAGCATGGTGGTGGCAGCAGCATCATGCTGTGGGGATGTTTTTCAGCGGCAGGGACTGGGAGCCGTTACGTTCCCCAGTTTCTGTGTTGTAGGTTGTGTATTTTCATGTATGTATTTCAGGAAATGGGTTCCTGAAATTCCCCAACAAGCAGCTGATTGGTCAATGAACATTGATGATTGGAGAGCTGACCCTGCGCCCTCGTCAGGACGCAGCTGTCTCCAATTACCAACTCCTTCTGAAGCTATATAAGCCCCAGTTCTGCTGCTCAGAAGAGGGAAGGGGAACCAGAATTGCTGAGAGTTGTAGCATGTTGGTTGTTGCTAAGACATTTGGTATGTACTGTGTAGTTGTTGCTCTGAGAGCTGATTGTAATGTTTTGTGTTAGTTTGTGGCTCAGAGTTTCTTTAATGTCCTGAGTTAGTTTTTTTCTCAGATTTTTGTTGTGAACCAATTTGTGCTATTTTTGTTTCATTTGTTCCCAAGGGGGGGAAGGCACCTAGGGAGTGCTTAGGCAAGAGGCCCGCGGGCATACATTACCCGTAGAAGTTGACTGTCTATGCACACTAGGAAAGACCTGGGCGGACCATCCCTTGTATTTTGGTTAGTGCACCAGGTGGTGCTAGTTAAGTAAGTAGTGGGTAGGCAGGTAAGGTAGGAGAGGGGGCTTTGATATTTACTTTCTTTGCTTTGGTTCCGTCCAGCCCCTTTTCCCCAAACTTACCGTGCGAAGGAATAAATTCCCTGTTAACGGTATTCTCTGCCTTTTGTCATCCTTACTCACACCTACAGTCCCATACCCCTTTCACACCACGGAGAGTTGAGTTGTAGCAGGGTGTTGCGTTCCCTCTTCCGAGAGGCGTGCGTAACAGGAGCTAGTCAGGATCGAGGCAAAGATGAACAGAGCAAAGTACAGAGAGATCCTTGATGAAAGCCTGCTCCAGAGCGCTCAGGACCTCAGACTAGGGCAAAGTTTCACCTTCCAACAGGACAACAACCCTAAGCACACAGCCAAGACAACGCAGGAGTGGCTTCGAGACAAGTGTCTGAATGTCCTTGAGTGACCCAGCCAGAGCCCGAAATTGAACCCGATCGAACATCTCTGGAGAGAACTGAAAATAGCTGTTCAGCAACACTCCCCATCCAACCTGACAGAGCTTGAGAGGATCTGCAGGGAAGAATGGGAGAAACTCCCCAATATAGGTGTCCCAAGCTTGTAGCGTCATACCTAAGAAGACTCGATGCTGTAGTCGCTGCCAAAAGGTGCTTCAACAAAGTACTGGGTAAAGATACTTATGTAAATCTGATATTTCCGTTTTTTATTTGTAATACATTTGCTAAAATAAAAATAAAAAAAAACTATTTTTTGGCTTTGTCATTCTGGGGTATTTTGTGTAGATTGATGAGGGAAATTTTTTAAAATTCATTTTTAGAATAAGGCTGTAACATATAATGTGTAAAAAGTCAAGGGGTCTGAATACTTTCTGAAGGCACTGTATATGGATAACATGGGTTCATTGTAGGCCAACATTGCATTTTAAAGAGAAAGCATGTGCCATGATCCCACGGGAAATAGGCCTATGGGAGTTTATGCTTTTTATTAACTACAAATTGGTGGCTGATATATCTACTTTAAAATAAAGTGTTACTGAAATATCGAGAATGGTTGCTGCCATAGTAATGAGGACAATGACTTACGGTTGATTGGAGCAGCACAACTTCGGCCTCTCTGATGGTGGTCCGGCTACAGGTGGCCTTCACACACCATTCTGGCATCCAGTAGAGCAGCAGCAGGAGGAAGCCCCCCGTACAGAGCACCAAAAGACCAACCACCGCCACACGCCACCGACACACACGGTACCCCTGGAGCTCCTAGAGTGGGCCAAGGTGGGGAGAGGGGATGGTTAAAGCTGTAGTTCATATTAGTGTTGCATGGTATACCGGAACTGTACTTTTTCGGTACTTCTTTCAAATGTGTCTCACATCATACTACGGATTGAGAGAATCAAGTCTGTTTAGTATTTTGTCTGAATCTTCTCAAGGGGGCAGAAGCTAGCCAGGCTGCGCTAGAGCGAGAGACGGAGAGAGAGAGCGACGGAGAGAGAGAGAGAGCGACAGATAGAGAGAGAGAGCGACAGATGGAGAGAGAGAGCGACAGATAGAGAGAGAGAGCGACAGATGGAGAGAGAGAGCAACAGATGGAGAGAGAGAGCGACAGATAGAGAGAGAGCAACAGATGGAGAGAGAGAGCAACAGATGGAGAGAGAGAGCGACAGATAGAGAGAGAGCGACAGATGGAGAGAGAGAGCGACAGATAGAGAGAGAGAGCGACAGATAGAGAGAGAGAGCGACAGATAGAGAGAGAGAGCGACAGATGGAGAGAGACAGATGGAGAGGGAGAGAGAGACAGGTGGAGAGAGAGTGACAAATGGAGAGAGAGAGAGAGCGACAGATGGACAGAGAGAGAGCGATAGAGCGCACTAGAGCGAGAGACGGAGCGGGTGAGACGGAGAGAGAGCGAGCGAGAGACGGAGAGAGAGCGAGCGAGAGACAGCGAAAGCGAGCGCAAGAGATATGGAGAGAGCAAGCGACAGATAGAGGGAAAGCGCGAGAGAGCAAGAGACACGGAGAGAGCGAGAGACACTTCAACTCCACTATATGAGTTTGCCATCAGTGTTGCGTCAATGTGACGCTCTACCTGCTACACAGAGCGCGTTGTTTTGTACCATATTCATCGATAATGCGTAAGTACAATAGCTTTGGTCCAGTTTATCGCAAGTACTCATTCAATTATTGCTAATGGTTGTACTAAATGATCCTCTAATTACACAAGTTGCTTTTGTTTACATTGTGAAAATAGTCAATGTAGCTAGCTAGCTAGAGTTTCTGCTAGCTAGTAGCTTCTTGGAGGCCATATGCAACCAAAATTAACTATTTCTCATTACTTTAATTCAGCGATTCTTGAGTTGGACGCTGCCATTGGACGTGACGCAGTGCGAGCGCAACACTGGCAGTATAGCAGCTTTCAATGACAGCATTCCCTCAATGGCTGATGGCAATGCCGGACTCCCGATGGCTGTAGAGTAGCAGGGCCGTGCGAGTGTGATTGAGTGAAGGAAAGGGGGGGGTAAGGTAGAAAGAGGTAATAAAATGAGGGAACACACCATCTCATCCTCCTCATCCTTGTTCACAATCGTCAGGTCTTCTTTCGCCATTCTGCAGACGAGTCACCAAGCCCACTGAGCACAGCTTCATTGAAACAAGAGCACAATGACACCACTACATGAGAATGTGATTCTACCCCAGTACGAAGGCATGAGTACATCTCAGAGTATGTGTCCAACCCAGTGCATACCAGAACATGACTCAACCTTCAAGTGAGACCAATGAGATGAACCACACCACCTGTGCAGTGACTGAAACCAGAGCCATATACGCACAGTTGGACAACTGAATGAATGATAAACTAGAATAGACTGGACAGGGCTGGAATACTCTAAAAAAAACATGCTGTCCTACTCTTGAGTTGGCCAAATCAAAATCAAATCAAATTTAATTTTTTTCACATGCGCTGAATACAACAGGTGTAGACCTTACCGTGAAATGCTTACTTACAAGCCCTTAAACAATGCAGTAGAAGAAATAGAGTTAAGAAAATAATTACTATATAAACTAAAGTAACAATGTTAAATAAAAAGTAACACAATAAAATAACAATAACGAGGCTATATACAGGGGGTACCGGTACCGAGTCAATATGCAGGTTAGTCAAGGTAATTTGTGCATGCAGGTAGAGGTAAAGTGATTATGTATAGATAATAAACAGTGAGTAGCAGCAGCGTAAAAACAGCAGCTACTGTTTCTGGGGTCCAGCAAAATTAAGGCAGCTTATACAATTTTAAAAACATTACAATACATTCACAACACACTGTGTGCCCTCAGGCCCCTACTCCACCACATACCTACAATATGTGTACGTGTGTGTGTATAGTGCGTATGTTATTGTGTGTGTATGCATGTGTCTGTGCCTATGTTTGTGTTGCTTCACAGTCCCTGCTGTTCCATAAGGTGTATTTGTATCTGTTTTTTAAATCTAATTTTACTGCTTGCATCAGGTACTTGATGTGGAATATAGTTCCATGTAGTCATGGCTCTATGTAGTACTGTGCGCCTCCCATAGTCTGTTCTGGACTTGGGGACTGTGAAGAGACCTCTTGTGGCATGTCTTGTGCGGTATGCATGGGTGTCATAGCTGTGCGCCAGTAGTTCAAACAGACAGCGCAGTGCATTCAACATGTCAATACCCCTCACAAATACAAGTAGTGATGAAGTCAATCTCTCCTTCACTTTGAGCCAGGAGAGATTGACATGTATATTATTAATGTTAGCTCTCTGTGTACATCCAAGGGCCAGCCGTGCTGCCCTGTTCTGAGCCAATTGCAATTTTCCTAAGTCCCTTTTTGTGGCACCTGACCACACGACTGAACAGTAGTCCAGGTGCAACAAAACTAGGGCCTGTAGGACCTGCCTTGTTCATAGTGCTGTTAAGAATGTAGAGCAGCACTTTATTACGGACAGACTTCTCCCCATCTTAGCTACTGTTGTATCAATATGTTTTGACCATGACAGTCACCTCAACTGCTCAATTTCCACATTATTTATTACAAGATTTAGTTGAGGTTTAGTGAATGATTTGTCCCAAATACAATGCTTTTAGTTGTAGAAATATTTAGGACTAACTTATTCCTTGCCACCCACTCTGAAACTAACTGCAGCTCTTTGTTAAGTGTTGCAGTCATTTCAGTCGCTGTAGTAGCTGACGTTTATAGTGTTGAGTCATCCGCATACATTTACTCAAAGCCAATGGCATGTCGTTAGTAAACCTTGAAAAAAGTAAGGGGCCTAGACAGCTGCCCTGGGGAATTCCTGATTCTACCTGGATTATGTTGGAGAGGCTTCCATTAAAGAACACCCTCTGTGTTCTGTTAGACAGGTAACTCTTTTATCCACAATATAGCAGGGGGTGTAAAGCAATAACACATACGTTTTTCCAGCAGCAGACTATGATCGATAATGTCAAAAGCCGCACTGGTCTAACAAAACAGCCCCCACAATCTTTTTATCATCAATTTCTCTCAGCCAATCATCAGTAATTTGTGTAAGTGCTGCGCTTGTTGAATGTCCTTCCCTATAAGCGTGCTGAAAGTATGTTGTCAATTTGTTGCTGTAAAATAGCATTGTATCTGGTCAAACACCATTTTTTCCCAAAGTTTACTAAGGGTTGGTAACAGGCTGATTGGTCGGCTATTTGAGCCAGTAAAGGGGGCTTTACTACTATTCTTAGGTAGCGGATTTACTTTTGCTTCCCTCCAGGCCTGGGTCACACAGTTTCTAGTAGGCTTAAATTGAAAATGTCAAATATGAGTGGCAATTCCATCTGCTATTATCCTCAGTAATTTTCCATCCAAGTTGTCACACCCCGGTGGCTTGTCATTGTTGATAGACAACAAAAAAATGAACCTCTTCCATACTCACTTTACGGAATTCAAAATTACAACACTTGTCTTTCATAATTTGGTCAGATATACTTGGATGTGTAGGGTCAGCGTTTGTTGCTGGCATGTCATGCCTAAGTTTGCTAATCTTGCCAATGAAAAAAATTAAGTAGTTGGCAATATCAGTCGGTTTTGTGATGAATGAGCCATCTGATTCAATGAATGATGGAGCTGAGTTTGCCTTTTTTCCCAAAATTTCATTTAAGGTGCTCCAAAGCTTTTTACTATAATTCTTTATGTCATTTATCTTTGTTTCATAGTGTAGTTTCTTCTTTTTATTCAGTTTAGTCACATGATTTGTCTATTTGCAATACGTTTGCCTATCGGTTGTGCAGCCAGACTTATTTGCCATTCCTTTTGCCTCATCCCTCTCAACCATAACATTTTTCAATTCCTCATCAATCCACGGGGATTTAACAGTTTTTACAGTCATTTTCTTAAATGGGTGCATGATTATTAGTAACTGGAATAAGCAACTTCATAAATGTGTCAAGTGCAGCGTCTGTTTGCTCCTCATTACACACCACGGACCAACAAATATTCAACAACATAGGAATCACTACAAAACGTATTGTATGACCTCTTATACACTATATTAGGCCCAGCCTTTGGAAGATATGGCTACTATATTGTGATCACTACATCCGATGGATCTGGATACTGCGTTCAAGCTAATTTATGCAGCATTAGTAAAGATGTGATGCTTACTTGTTTTCATTGCTTTACTGGGAAGCTTAGCAGAAGTAGATATGCTCATGTTATTTATGTTAGTGCAGGGTGAGCTGCACACAGTGGACTTCCTACTAGGGCACACCGCCTCAGCGTTAACAGTATAAATCTGGTTCATAGGCACATGATTACTGCATACAATAGCTGTAGGTTTAGCAGTGGCATTCAGGGCAGTTAGAGGGACATAAATTCAGTTACTTACATTGTGTCTACCAACACCCTGGTATAATGTACATTTGCTGAAGCATTATGACAACTCAGCGTCACAATGGTAGGGATTAACTGAGCTGGGATTGGGTCATTGATAAGTCAGTCTCAACGCAGCTTTATAATGCTGTAAAAAATATCCAGGAACCCAAATGATTTGGGTGGATCCCATCCTCCTTATAAAACGTGTTTTGTTTCCAAAAGGTATCGAAATTGTCAACAAAAGTTACACCCATTGAGTATGTAGCCCTACTGTATGACATTGAGTTTGCCATATGAATCTGGGTTTGCCTGTGCAGATCTCTACAGGCTCAGACAGCCAGTTGACCGGAGAGCACCTAAAACAGAGCATGAGTGGTGCAGCTGTGACACCCAGTATGGAACACTCCCACAGACAGTGACAAGCTCCTTTCCCAACAGCCTGGCCAGCCCTGGAGGACAGCTGAGAGAGAGAGAGAGAGAAGAAGCATGGGGGGTATTGAGTAACACCCATCTGATGACTCAGGACTGCGAGTGTGTGTCTGTGTGTTCTGCAATGATCTGTATGAGTGGAACCTGACCTCTCTGTACAGAAGAGTTAAGGGTTTGAAGGGGAATGTCAGGGTCAAAAGGTCAACGGGCAGTTGGAATCAACCAGTACAGCCAAAGATTAAAGACAATCAAAGATGCACCAAGAGATGCAACAGAACTTCAACATGCAGCTGGCTAAACAAACACTTATCTATTCACTATACTTGTATCTCAATGTTATGGATGTAAAGTCACAAAGAAGACAAAGGGAACGCAATCAAAACTTCCAACATCAGCACCATATCAGCCCCAGACTGAAATCCAACCAAATAACCCATGGAATATTTTCTCATATCCTGACATGATAGGGATGGTCCCCGAAGTCACACTACAGAAGGCTTGGAATTCCAACCAGGCTTCCCGATTGATGACCTGGCGAGATTCCATGATGCCCACCACAGCATGATGGCAGCAGTTTGAATGACCCCGCATTGAAAGGGCATTGTGCCAGGAGCACTAGGCAGCAATGAAAATATTAAAAATACCTTTATTAAAACATGAAAAAATAATAGCAGGCCTGGTTGACCCAGAGGGAGGTCCATCCTCTCTTCGTACATGTGCCGGTTGTACGGTGCTGGAAGGCCAGATGAGGGGGAGATTTCGCTGGGCTCACTGCTGAGAGCGGGGGCTATGGTAGGAAACGGGCTAGCCCGTGCATGTCTGCGATTAGCTGCAGCACGGGGGATAACACACACGTTTAAAACACACACCCCCTACAAAAACAACAGGCTGGCTTTCGCCATTGCTGGACTGGTGTCAGATATCATACTGGAGAGAATCGCGATTAATTAATGTACAGTATATCTGTAGCGGGGGGGGGGGGGGCTGTGCGCACACACAGACAGTGCTCTCAAGGACAAAGAGCTCTAATGCTCAGTCGCTTTTACAGGATTAGACTTGTCATTGAAAACAGAGAAGCTTTTTGGACATCAATGCTGCCAGTGGTTATTATAATCATCAAAGCCTCTCTTACCTTTTATTAGGTGTGTCCTCTTTACACACAAACAGTTTAATTAGTAGTGCAGCAACATATTTCCCCCCTCATGTAGGTCGAGCCCCATTGAAGTGCACCCAGCGCCGGCTGCTTCCACATATGGAGTGTGGGTATATCTCCATGGTACAGACTACAAAGACCATTCCTACCCCAACAAGGCCTCTGAGCAGACACTTTGCCTGTGCTCTCAGGGGACTGGCTTTTCTCAAGGCCCAAAGGTGGGGAAAAAAAGATGCATGAGGGAGGCAGGCTGGCCGACAGCGATTTAGAGGGGCTTTTGGCAGGACATTCTGTTGTATCAACAATGGAGCGACAAGAGAAAAGAGATTGAGAGAGCGACTCAGAGAGAGAACAGTGTGAAAGGGGAGAGAGGGAGAAAAAAAGGGGACTCAGCAGCAGGGCTGACCCTGGCTGGCTGTCAGGGCCGGCGCTGGGTTGGGCCATCCCCCCCTGCACTGTGCCACTGGCCCCCGGCCCGGATCTTATCTGCCCGCAGCACTCTGGCCCTTTCTTTCCCTGGCACACAGCAGGATATTTTGCTTGGGACCAAGCCCTTCCTACTATTTTACAGCAGGTCAGGAGTCCAGGGCGGGCGGCAAGCTGCTGGGCAGGCCACCCTATGGTGTGTCGTTTTGTCCCAGACAGTGTATACCAGTATGGGACTTTTGAGGCCATTAATTGTTAAACATTGCTGGATGGTTGGCACTGGAGTCAATGCACAAAGCAGAGCAAAGGTAGCGTCATCCATTGATTTTGTCACCATAAAAAATTATATATTACAGCCATATAACCTGGGGATTATTCATCTGGATACTGAACAGATACAACCATTTAATCTATATTTCAGCACTAATAAAACAAAGGCCTGGCTACGGTCTAACCAACCTAACACGTTTCTCTGCTTGTGACTAAAACATCAATACCTCACCTTTTAAGTCTGGCTAAACAGGAATAGAGTAGTTAATGTTTCTTTGGCATGTCTAGTAAACATAGTGCCTTCAGAATGTATTCATACACCTTGACGTATTCCACATTTTGTTGTGTTACAGCCTGAATTAGGGCTGTGACGGTAATACAATAACCATGTAACTGACTTCTGGATGAAGACATCACAAAAATAAAATAACCGTCATAACTGTTTAAATAGGACTACATAAATTTACATTTTAACTTTATTTTCATTTAGATAAGGACCCTGGGACTAAACACCTCCCTCTGCAACTGGATCCTGGACTTCCTGACGGGCCACCCCAGGTGGTAAGGGTAGGTAACAACACATCTGCCAAGCCGACACAGGGGCCCCTCAGGGGTGCATGCTCCGTCCTCTCCTGTACTCCCTGTTCACCCATGACTGCATGGCCAGGCACAACTCCAACACCATCATTAAGGTTGCCGACGACACAACAGTGGTAGGCCTGATCACCGACAACGATGAGACAGCCTATAGGGAGGAGGTCAGAGACCTGTCCGTGTGGTGCCAGGATAACAACCTCTCCCTCAACGTGATCAAGACAAAGGAGATTATTGTGGACTACAGGAAGAAAAAAAAGGACTGAGCACGCCCCCATTCTCATCGACGGGGCTGTAGTGGAACAGGTTGAGAGCTTCAAGTTCCTTGGTGTCCACATCACCAACAAACTATTATGGTCCAAACACACCAAGACAGTCATGAAGAGATTTGGCATGGGTCCTCAGATCCTCAAAAAGTTATACAGCTGCAACATCGAGAGCAACCTGACTGGTTGCATCACCGCCTGGTATGGCAACTGCTCGGCCTACGACCGCAAGGCACTACAGAGGGTAGTGCGTACGGCCCAGTACATCACTGGGGCCAAGCTTCCTGCCATCCAGGACCTCTATACCAGGCGGTGTCAGAGGAAGGCGCTAAAAAAGCCACCCTAGTCATAGACTATTCTCTCTGCTACCGCACGGCAAGCGGTACCGGAGTGCCAAGTCTAGGTCCAAAAGGCTTCTTAACAGCTTCTACCCCCAAGCCATAAGACTCCTGAACAGCTAATCATGGCTACCCTGACTATTTGCATTGCCCCCCCACCCCAACCCCCTCTTTTACGCTGCTGCTACTCTGTTTATTATCTATGCATAGTCACTTTAACTCTACCCACATGTACATATTACCTCAATTAACTCGACTAACCGGTGCCCCCGCACATTGACTCTGTACCGGTACCCCCTGTATATAGCCTCCCTACTGTTATTTTATTTTACTACTGCTCTTTAATTATTTGCTATTTTCTATTTTTTACTTAACACTTTTTTTTCCCCTTTTCTTAAAAAACTTTGTTGGTTAAGGGTTTGTAAGTAAGCATTTCACTGTAAGGTCTACACCTGTTGCAAATACTATTTGATTTGATACATTTCACCTAATAGCAGAAATGTTTACTAATGATTATAAGCAATTGTTTTGCAACTTAGTCTATTAAACTTTCTACATCTCCTATTTCCAACTGCCCTCTGATGCTCGAGCAGCTAATCTGCTAGATGCGCGGGGGTGTAGGCTATGGCACTTCAGTAAAATCATCTTTGCTGTGTGGACTTCCTTTTATACAATGCACGTTTTCATTGCTTGCTAGTAAATAAATAAAATCGGTCTTTTAAAAAAGGTTGGATGTGTCTGACTATTCATTTATTATTCAACAGCAGTCGACAAGGTTGTTCTGGCTCTGAGGCCTATAATGGGCTAACGTGTCAAATGGACCCAGCACCAATCCTCTCCAACCTGGTATAGTATAATTTGATACGGAATATTTTCTTAATTTATACAGTGTTGAGGTAATGGGCATAATGCCAACCCAGAAATGGTGCTAGTGGGTCACCTATCTAGGATAGATAAACAGGTGCATTTTGAGTGTCTGATTAGGATGTCCTGACCTGTAACATGTTATACCTGAGTAAAGGATAATGATTGCATCTTATCTAACTCTTCGACGTGAGTTAATCACATTCACGCGTCAAACTCATTCCACTGTTCTGCTAAGCTAACATATGGAATTGTTTTAAGATGGTCATACCATGGATCATTTAGCTATTTGATTTAGAATTTAAGGACCCCTGTAGTTATCATAAAAACATGTAAAATACATTTGATAAAATTTTGAATTTGGTCTTATACTTATTTCCATAGAAACGGTATTTTGCACAAGAAACAGTGAGACAAACATACAGATAAAAAACTAATTTAATAAACTGACTGGTGTGGTGGAAGGCCAAGGGGTTATATGAAAACCACACCACAAAAAAAACAATATACAATACACAAGTACAACATTTTTAAAAAGGTTTGTAAAAACAGATAAAACCTACTAATTATAAATGTATAAATGAATTGATCAGTAATCACGTTAACATTTAAAAAATGTGTTTTGTTTAAATGTGGGTGTGCATGTGAGTGTGTGTGAGTTAGGCTATATGGAGGAGATTACTGAGTAGTTTGGTTCATCAGGCTGATCCCCCAGTCTTAGCTTGAAGTTATTGAGGGATGATGACATTTTGGCAATGTGAAGATAAGAATTCCAGAGTATGGTACCTCTATATCTGATAGAGAATTGACTATGTGAGGTGCGACACTGGGGAAGGTAAAGGTTATCGCAGTGTCTTGTGTTATTAGGGCTGTCCCCGACAAAAAAAAATCTTGGTCGACTGAAAGTCATCTGTTCTTTCGAATTCTTCTACAGTGGGGGAAAAAGTATTTAGTCAGCCACCAATTGTGCAAGTTCTCCCACTTAAAAAGATGAGAGAGGCCTGTAATTTTCATCATAGGTACCGTCACTATGAGACAAATGAGAAAAAATCCAGAAAATCACATTGTAGGATTTTTAATAGATTTATTTGCAAATTATGGTGGAAAATAAGTATTTGGTCAATAACAAAAGTTTCTCAATACTTTGTTATATACCCTTCGTTGGCAATGACACAGGTCAAATGTTTTCTGTAAGTCTTCACAAGGTTTTCACACACTGTTGCTGGTATTTTGGCCCATTCCTCCATGCAGATCTCCTCTAGAGCAGTGATGTTTTGGGGCTGTCGCTGGGCAACACGGACTTTCAACTCCCTCCAAAGATTTTCTATGGGGTTGAGATCTGGAGACTGGCTAGGCCACTCCAGGACCTTGAAATGCTTCTTACGAAGCCACTCCTTCGTTTCCCGGGCGGTGTGTTTGGGATCATTGTCATGCTGAAAGACCCAGCCACGTTTCATCTTCAATGCCCTTGCTGATGGAAGGAGGTTTTCACTCAAAATCTCACGATACATGGCCCCATTCATTCTTTCCTTTACACGGATCAGTCGTCCTGGTCCCTTTACAGAAAAACAGCCCCAAAGCATGATGTTTCCACCCCCATGCTTCACAGTAGGTATGGTGTTCTTTGGAAGCAACTCAGCATTCTTTGTCTTCCAAACACGACGAGTTGAGTTTTTACCAAAAAGCTATATTTTGGTTTCATCTGACATTCTCCCAATCCTCTTCTGGATCATCCAAATGCACTCTAGCAAACTTCAGACGGGCCTGGACATGTACTGGCTTAAGCAGGGGGACACGTCTTGCACTGCAGGATTTGAGTCCCTGGCGGCGTAGTGTGTTACTGATGGTAGGCTTTGTTACTTTGGTCCCAGCTCTCTGCAGGTCATTCACTAGGACCCCCCGTGTGGTTCTGGGATTTTTGCTCACCGTTCTTGTGATCATTTTGACCCCACAGGGTGAGATCTTGCGTGGAGCCCCAGACCGAGGGAGATTATCAGTGGTCTTGTATGTCTTCCATTTCCTAATAATTGCTCCCACAGTTGATTTCTTCAAACCAAGCTGCTTACCTATTGCAGATTCAGTCTTCCCAACCTGGTGCAGGTCTACAATTTTGTTTCTGGTGTCCTTTGACAGCTCTTTGGTCTTGGCCATAGTGGAGTTGAGTGTGACTGTTTGAGGTTGTGGACAGGTGTCTTTTATACTGATAACAAGTTCAAACAGGTGCCATTAATACAGGTAACGAGTGGAGGACAGAGGAGCCTCTTAAAGAAGAAGTTACAGGTCTGTGAGAGCCAGAAATCTTGCTTGTTTGTAGGTGACCAAATACTTATTTTCCACCATAATTTGCAAATAAATTCATAAAAAATCCTACAATGTGATTTTCTGGAGAAAAAAATTCTCAATTTGTCTGTCGTAGTTGACGTGTACCTATGATAAAAATTACAGGCCTCTCTCATCTTTTTAAGTGGGAGAACTTGCACAATTGGTGGCTGACTAAATACTTTTTTTCCCCCACTGTGTGTGTGTGTGTATATATATATATATATATATATATATATATATCTATATATATATATATATATATATAGACACACCCTATGTATTTTAATAAGACAAATGCCTCAAGAGGGTGCCAGAGATCGAGATAACCAGAAGAAAAAAACCTTAACCTGACTCAACTATTCTCCTCCTGCTCCTGATGTCTATCGCAGATTCTGCCATTACTCCCCTGAGTCGGCAACCTTTCTCATGTGGAATACCAATTTATCTTACAATTTCTACCGATCTGTGTACCAGTTACGGTTTTCACATGCACATTTTCGTGAAACAGTTTCATTTAATTTATAACAACGTCTTCATATCTCAAAATCATTGTCATGTGGTTAATCAAAATTCTATCAGAATCTAAATGAAAATGATAAACCTACAAAGTAACTTTATTGCCATCTATGTAAAAATAGCCAACATAAAGGCCAACAAATAAAAACATTGCAGCCTGAAGGTAAAAAATAACCTGATCAAAATAAATATCCTATCAATCACTTTGGCTACACATGGCCTGTCTGCAACGAACTTGAAACATTGTATCAACTATTAACTTGGGTCCGGCCTGAAGGTTGTGCTAGCGAACTTCATATTCCTGCGTCAGTGAGCTCGGGACAGGCACAGCTGTAGGCTATTTGCGTAAGGGATAAGAAGCCGTGCTTGACTTGGGCAGGAGCTCACCGGAGCCGAGTACCGGCACCTCAAATGTTCTACTGCTTGAGCTCCTGTTCTTCTTATAGAACATTAGCTCAAAAGTATTGTGGAGCTCCTGCACCTAAATATTAAAAACAGTACCAGCACCCAAAATGAGTACCGGAACCTATTTCAGTCCAAGTCAAGCACTGATAAGAAGTTATCAGGTAGGCCTATTTTATGACGTTTCCACTGGATCAGAGCATGACATGTTTCCCTTTCATGCTGAGTGGTTATCGAAAGGGAGAGAGCTGGAATTGTTTTTCAAATACATTGAGGAACTATTGTAATTCTCAATGCATGTAAAAACAGACTGTTTGCTTGCTGTTTGAGGTGAAGAAAACATTACTTTGAGAAGCTCCACAGAAGTGGTGATGCGTTAAGCCAATCAGAAATACTATCCGATCCTCAAATGGGAACATTTATATGCCTACACATTTGCGTGCAGGCCAGGTAGCCTAGCCTATAGGCCTACTTCTGTGTGTGCGCGTCCTTACTCAACATTGACATGAGCGCACACCAAACAAAAGACAATGACTATATTGACAGAACTCATAAATGGAATTAAATAAACCAAAACTTGTTTCTCACAAGTGTAGCATAGGTTGTGCACTCTGCAAACAATGTGTCCACTCCGACAATGACAACAGGAAGACTGGAATAATAATATTAAAAGCATTCAAATAAATGACCGTAACCAAAGTAACAAACATTGTAGATGAGAAATTATAGGAATTAATGGTAAATGTACTACTGGTGATATATGTAATGGGGAATTGATATACACTAACAATCAAACGCAAACAATTCACACGTGAAGGTATGAAACAATGAATGTGCACAAATTGGCGGGAGAGAGCACATTCTGGAGAGAGAAGTGCATTGTGCATCTGGGCACATGGTCAATCCGACATCTGCATCGGCCATGCAGCATTTAAGGTGATATGGCCTCAGCAGAAGTCAGGGCATTCATACTTCTTGCACTTCGCAGAGTTGTTGTCAAGGAAGTGAGTTTGTGTTTTCTACAGGATGTACCGCCCCCACCTACCGTCAACCAATGTCAATGCGGAGCTATACAGAGCCCACCACACTGTTACAACATGGCGATGTGGTATGGAGCTCGATTTGGCTTCTGCGTGCCTCTGGAGGCTCTGTAATTGCATTACCATCCATATGGAGCCTCCGACAACACTTTCAGATCAAGCATAAATTGGCTTTTTGTCTACGTATCCGCAATGGATTGGTTCATGGAGACGGGCGCAAATATACAGTACCAGTCAAGTTTGGACACACCTACTCATTAAAGGGTTTTTCTTTATTTTTACTATTTTCTACATTGTAGAATAATAGTGAAGACATCAAAACTATGAAATAACACATATGGAATCATGTAGTAACCAAAAAAGTGTTAAACAAATCAAAATAGATTTTATATTTGAGATTCTTCAAGTAGCCACCCTCTTGGCATTCTCTCAACCAGCTTCATGAGGTAGTCACCTGGAATGCATTTCAATTAACAAAGGTGTGCCTTGTTAAAAAGTTAATTTGTGGAATTTCTTTCCCTCTTAATGCGTTTGAGCCAATCAGTTGTGTTGTTACAAGGTAGGGTGGGTTTACAGAAGATAGCCCTATTTGGTAAAAGACCAAGTCCATATTATGGCAAGAACAGCTCAAATAAGCAAAGAGAAACGACAGTCCTTCATTACTTTAAGACATGAAGGTCAGTCAGTACGGAAAATTAAGAACGCCATCAAGCGCTATGATGAAACTGGCTCTCATGAGGACCGCCACAGGAAAGGAAGAACCAGAGTTACCTCTGCTGCAGAGGATAAGTTCATTAGAGTTACCAGCCTCAGAAATTGCAGCCCAAATAAATGTGTCAGAGTTCAAGTAACAGACACATCTCAACATCAATTCAGAGGAGACTGTGTGAATCAGGCCTTCATGGTCGAATTGCTGCAAAGAAACCACTACTAAAGGACACCAATAAGAAGAAGAGACCTGCTTGGGCCATGAAACACGAGCAATGGACATTAGACCGGTGGAAATGTGTCCTTTGGTCTGGAGTTTTATTGGTTCCAAATTGGAGGTTTTTGGTTCCAACCGCCGTGTCTTTGTGATCTCCGCATGTGTATTTCCCACCGTAAAGCATGGAGGAGGCGTTATGGTGTGGGGGGTGCTTTGCTGGTGAAACTGTATATGATTTATTTTGAATTCAAGGCACACTTAACCAGCATGGCTACCACAGCATTCTGCAGCGGGACTATCATTTGTTTTTCAACAGGACAATGACCTAACACACCACCAGGCTGTGTAAGGGCTATTTTAACAAGAAGGAGAGTGATGAGTGCTGCATCAGATGACCTGTCCTCCACAATCCCCTGACGCCAACCAAATTGAGAAGGTTTGGGAGGAGTCAGACTGCAGAGTGAAGGAAAAGCAGCCAACAAGTGCTCAGCATATGAAACTGTTGGAAAAGCATTCCAGGTGAAGCTGGTCGAGAGAATGCCAAGAGTGTGCAAATGCTGGCTATTTGAAGAATCTCAAATATAAAATATATTTTGATTTGTTTAACACTTTTTTGGTTACTACATGATTCCATAAGTGTTCTTTTATAGTTTATGTCTTCACTATTATTATTGGGCTCCTGAGTGGCGCAGCGGTCTAAGGCACTGCATCTCAGTGCTTGAGGCGTCACTACAGACCCCCTGGTTCGATTCCAGGCTGTATCACAACCGGCCGTGATTGGGAGTCCCATAGGGCGGCACAATTGGCCCAGTGTCGTCCGGGTTTGGCCGGTGTAGGCCATCATTGTAAATAAGAATTTGTTCTTAACTGACTTGCCTAGTTACACGGTCCCCTGTAGCTCAGTTGGTAGAGCATGGCGTTTGCAACGCCAGGGTTGTGGGTTCGATTCCCACGGGGGGCCAGTATGAAAATGTATGTACTCACTAACTGCAAGTCGCTCTGGATAAGAGCGTCTGCTAAATGACTAAAATGTAATGTAAATGGAAACTGGAGATATTTTTTACGTCACCGTCTTCTGCAGGTTGTTCTCTAACCAATCAGCTCATTTTGTGGTCCTCTGTAGCTCAATTGGTAGAGCATGGCGCTTGTAACGCCAGGGTAGTGGGTTCGATCCCCGGGACCATCCATACGTAAAAATGTATGCACACATGACTAAGTCGCTTTGGATAAAAGCGTCTGCTAAATGGCATATTATATTATTATATTATTTAAATAAAGGTTAAATAAAAAAATAATGTATCTATTTTTTTACCCACCCATCTATCTACCAATTGGTGCCTGTCTTTGCGAGGGGTTGGAAAACCTCCCTGGTCTTTGTGGTTGAATTGGTGTTTGAAATTCACCACCCGACTGAGGGACATTTTTTACATTTTACATTTTAGTCATTTAGCAGAAGCTCTTATCCAGAGCGACTTACAGGAGCAATTAGGGTTAAGTGCCTTGCTTAAGGGCACATCGACAGATTTTTCACCTAGTCGGCTCGGGGATTAGAACCAGCGACCTTTCGGTTACTGGCACAACGCTCTTACCCACTAAGCTACCTGCCGCCCCAGGGACCTTACAGATAATTGTATGTGTGGGGTACACATTTTTTTTGTTAAACACCATTATTGCACACAGACTGAGTCCATGCAACTTATGTGACTCGTTAAGCAAATGTTTGCTCCTGAACTTATTTAGGCTTGCCATAACAAAGGGGTAGAATACTTATTGACTCAAGACATTTCAGCTTTTAATTTTTTTATTTGTACACATTTCTAAAAACATAATTCCACTTTGACATTATGGGGTATTGTGTGTTGGCCAGTGACAAAAAATCTCAATTGAATCCATTATAAATTCAGGCTGTAACAGAACAAAATGTGAAAAAAGTAAAGGGGTATGAATACTTTCTGAAGGCACTATAACTTCAGAGTGGGTGGGTGTGAGTGTGGGGGAGGGGGGGGATCGGTGGTTCACTCTGTACAAACAGACTGACTCAGTGACATAACTAAAGTCTCAATGGTCAGACAGATTTACACAGAGCCTTAAATGGCCAGACAGACTGGCACACATACTCTAGACAGCCATGAGATGTCAGAAGAGATCCAGGTGTTGTTACCTTGAGAGCCTGGGCAACGACACCCCCAGACGTTCCTCCTCCCCTCTGTAGCTCACCCTCTCACGACACGAACCTGGACCCCTGGGAGACAGACAGGAGAGAGCCATCATTAGACACTTCCATCAAAGGGCCGGAACCCTTTCTCTATACTCTTACCACGTATAAAACACACCCAGGGGTGACTATAGGGCAACTGGCTATTAGCATGAGTAGTTGGGAACATTGAAAATAAGTGTGGTGTCAAACAAGAGACTTTAGACTGAAAACAGAAGGAATAATGTTGAGCATTTTGACAGTCATTTTGTAAGTTTAGGTTTGAGACATCCCTGGATTCAGATTCTTGTCAATTGTCAAAATTAAAACAACATTTGTCATTGCACTCTTGAAAATGTGTATTTGGTATCTGAATGCTCAGCGCATCACAGCAGGTAGGCTACTGTTCAGAACCCCCTGGTAGGCCTCAGACAGATATGACCTCAGTGATATTAATAGACTTCTCCACAGCCGGGTAAACCCTGCATTGTTGGTCTTCATTTGATTACCTAGCATTGTCTCTGGTTCGTGGTTGCTAGGTAGAGAAAGTGAACAAGGCCATCATTTGACTACAGTTGGCCACATGCACTTTGGAGAGAAGAATAAGAGTTTGCCAGTGCCAAACTTCTTCCTGTTAAATGTGAGACTGGTAGGAAGGCAGGGTTAGGGTTAAGCGACTTCCGCACATCACGACAAACCTGCACCACCGTCCATGTTGTAGAACAGTCCCACAGGCAGTTTGTAGTCGTACTTCAAGAATCCCTTTCTACAAGGGGCTGAAACAAAGCTTGGTTTTCTAACAACAATGTTCTGAGTGAAATCAGTTCACAAAGCTGTCTAGGGCAATGTTCTAACCCAAATATGTGACATTCATTAGCCCTGTTCTGGAATACGCTTCACCTGTTTGGGAAGGTCTCACAAAGCACCTGATCAAACACATGGAAGGCCTTCAGAGAAGATGCTGCTGTATCATTGGAATACCCTATGACACATTTCCCAGCCTGGAGGCAAGAAGAGACGAGACCACAAGAGGAGAGTTCACTTGCCTACTGAAGGAGGGGACCCACCCACTTCTCCAGGCTCTGACCACAAAACCAAGCCACTATATCCTGCGAAATGGGAGACAACACACAGCCAATCAGTCACACAAAAAAACATCAACTGACCTTTCTACCTAGAGCGTACAGACTGACCCTGTAGTGTACCTGTTGTCATTTCTTAACTGTAATGTGCCCAGTGGTAAAATCTGAACTTTTAAAAAATGTATCCCTTTTTAGATTACTGTTGTGTTATGTATATGTTTATTTCAGAGTGATCCTCGTGTAAAGAGCATCTCGTTTCATATTGTTATGCAATTATGTTTTATATAATACAACTTCAAACTTGAACAGAAGTACATTTCGATTTCTGTCATAGGAATGTTGTCCATGAGCCCTAAATTGACAGTAATAGAAATGGGGTTGAAACCAGCTATCAAAAAACATGTTCCAGGGTCCACTGGAAAAAACGAAAGCAATAGTGAGCAGCAGGTTTGTTTAGTCTAAAACGTTTCTCCTAAATGTCAGAGCAAGTTTGCGCTCAGGATGAAAACAGTTGTGATGGTGGCCAGGCAGGTTTTTGCTCAACCTCGGTGTGTAATCTCTTTGGAGTCAATGAGGCCTTACATGCTGACCACACCCCTTGTCCGCATGTTGATTTTGTCCACCCACACCAGACGCGATCAGGACATGTAGGTTGAAATATAAAAATGAACTCTGAACCAACTATATTAATTTGGGGGCAGGTCAAAAAGCATTAAACATTGGCAATTTAGCTAGCTAGCTTGCTGTTGCTAGCTAATTTGTCCTGGTATATAAACATTGGGTTGTTATTTTACCTGAAATGCACAAGGTCTTCTACTCCGACAATGAATCCACAGATAAAATGGATGACCGAGTTTGTTTCTAGTAATCTCTTCTCCTTCAGGCTTCTTCTTTGGACTTCATATGGCGGTTGGCAACTTTAAGGTGCATTACCACCACCAACTGGACTGGAGTGTGGACCTCAGTTCAACTTTCAATCACCCACATGGGTATATGCTCCTAAAAAACAATGAGGAAATGGGAGAGGTGGGACTTGCAGGGCCTCAAGCGTCACAAATAGAACCAAGTTCTAGTTTAGCGCCTGGCTACGCAGACGCTCGCGAGCAGTGTGGGTGCAATGATTGAATAACGTGTACATTTATTTTGCAACGCTCGCGTACGTGACGCGGGCGGCGTGGTCAGCATGTTAGGCAGCAGCAGCAACATGAATGGAAGACTTGACTTCAGGAAAAACAAGCCTTCAAAAACCTATACCTCAGCAATTTGGATGCCTCAGAAGAGAGACTTCGGTCCTTCTCTTTTTTTCCCCCTCACCTGTTCTTGGACACTGGTAGAGAAAAGCTAACAATAAGCCATTATGGCTGTCATAATTCATGGAAGAATTAGGAGGAAAAGTGATTGTTGCAGTCGTGCTCTCAGCTCAATTTGCTTTCTTTATCACTTCCCCTCCTAATCACAGTGCGTTGTTGCTAGGCTTTGTTCCCGGCCGTACTGCCATCCAGTCGTATATCACCCCCGCCAGTGGCCTTGGGCTTAGTCCGTGGTCACCTGCCCCTCCTTTGCTCGCTGGTCAGCTCCTTTTGTTCTAGTGTGTGTGTGTGAACCCCCCTCCTGATAGAGCTTCTGCTGAGCCAAGTACCAGACATGGCACTGAAAACCATGGTTGCGATTCATGTGTCCCTCTCGACTGTACATTTTGTGGTGTTAGATTAATTCAATGAGCATTCATTTGTTAAACAGATGCAAATAAAGTTGAATTAAACTGAATTGATCGTACACAAGTGAAAACAGATCAAAGTTGGCTAGAGGTGAAGTAGAAAGAGGTTTGTACAACCAATACAAACGGCAGGAATATGCAAATAAAACGTCAAGCTTTTTATGAAATGCAAATAAAGAAAGAGCACCGGCCTATTTCCATTTATTTTATGAGCAGCGTTCGGTTCAATCCGAACCTGTCAAATCAACATGACTCACCTTAAGCTGAAGTAGGAGTCCCTAACATGAAACGATAGTCCAAAGCAGTAGTCAGTCAGGTTTCACTCAATCTCATCAGAGACCGCTAATACCAAAATCGCAGTGTCAAGATGAGGGACTCAAGTCATCCCGAGTGGAGACCGCACAAACGTTATATCTCAAAACAGACAAGACCACGGAGCTGACGTTAGAGATGGCATTCATCCACCGACCAGAAGGGAGAAGGGGAAAAAAACAAGAGATGAGATCAGATAGGGAGGTTAAGGAGGGCACTAGATAGAGGCGTGTGTAGGCTAGCTCCGGAGGCCGAGAGAGAGAGAGAGAGAGAGAGAGACTGATGGAGAAGAGAGAAAAACAAAATGTAGAGATCAAACGGCCGTGGAGCCCTAAGTCAGGCCACATGCTCCTGGATTAGCTGTGGCATGGCCCTACAGCCTGGGAAAAACGGCTGATAACACCCTTCGAGAGATTAAGCAATATTTTTACATAAGAGACACTTTTTGGCACTGAATAGACCTCGGCACAGCAAGTATAGGCTACTGCAGATTACCATTCTGATCGTTTGCATTAAATCGAAACAAGCCGAGGCCCTCTTTATGAATGAATGTCGTAATACAAAATAGAAGAGGGAGGAAGTCATGACTTCCCTCTGATCCTGAACTAAGGTCCACACATATCTCAAGTCAATGTCCACATGCAACAGTTATAAAACCCACTTGCCTTAGTGAGTATACATTAGTGACGGGGGAAGAAACCAATACAGTTACATAATCGGGATATTATTTTTGACGATAGTTGGCTGTACCTGCACCAAAACTCCAGTATTTTTCCTTTATAGCTTGTTCTCCATCTTCTTTTTAAAATGGGGAGCCAAATTTGTTTTCTGCACTTTTATTTCCGACTGATCAAAACTTGTTCTCATGGCTCTCTTGTCTCTCTGCAGCATAAATATGGTGAGCAATATATGTTTGGAACTTTGAATTGCAATAAAATCACAGTATCGAATCGCAATACATATAGAATTGTGAGAATCGCAATACATATCGTATTGGCACCTAAGTGACAATATCGTATCGCGAGGTCCCTGGCAATTCCCAGCCCTAGTATCCCCGTGAGGACTCAACCCTGGGGATATTGGTATTTATTAGGATACCCATTAGCCGCTGCAAAAGCGTCAGCTACTCTTCCTGGGGTCCACATGAAACATGACATAATACAGAACATTATTAGTCAAGGACTGAAACACATACATTTAAAAATGTCACACATAGCCTACATATCAATACATACACGCAATATCTAGGTCTAATACATTGTACAGTGCAAATTACAATACAAGATATATAAGATGGCTGTGTCTCGTCATAGTCCCCTTTAGGCATGTTCTTTTATCAGTTTTATTGCTAGCTTGAGTTACCTGGGTTGGCAGAGTTCCATGTAGTCATGGCTCTATTTAATACTGTGTGTTTCCCAGCCTCTGTTCTGGACCTGGGGACTGTGAAGAGAACTCTGGATGCATGTCTTGTGTTGTACCGATGGGTTTCCGAACTGTATGCCAACTGCTTGAGCACAGAGTTCGGTACCTTCAATACAACAAGACCAATAGTGATGCAGTCAATCTCTCTTCAACTTTGAGCCAGGAGAGACTGACATGCATTTTACTGACACTTTCCCTCTGCGTACATCTAAGTGCGATACGTGCTGCTTTGTTCTGGACAAACTGCAATTTTCCAATGTCTTTCGTTGTTGCACATGACCACATAGCTGGGCAGAAGTCCAGGTGCGACAAAACTAGGGCCTTTAGAACCTGTCTGGTCGACAGATGTCAAAAAGGCAGAGCAACGCCCTATCATGGACAGACCTCTTCTCATTTTTGCAACCATTGAGTCTATATGTTTTGACCATGAAAGCTTCTATCTAGGGTTACACCCAGCAGTTTAGTCTCCTCAACTTGCTCAATAGCCACATTATTCAATAATAGATGTAAATGATGTTTAGCGTTGAGCGAGTGATTTTTCCCAAAACGTATGCTTTTAGTTTGAGATATACATTTGAGTTTTTTTAAAATATAATTTCAGCATGCTATAATCACCTCACCAATGTTTAGTCTGAGGGCACCGGTTTGGACTCCACGTTTTGGCAGAAAAAACTTCATTCTCTGGTTCACGCCGTTGCGCAAAATTTCACGGTTGTTTCTATTTTAATCTAAAGCACTTAATTACGCTTCCAGTGATGGGGGTTGCTGGTTTGTCTTGGCCTTGGAGGTAAACCGCAGGGCAGGGACTAGAAAGGCCTCCCTCTATGCGCCGCGGCCCGGGGGCTCAGAGTGCAAACAGTGCCGGCTACTGAAGGGACTTGCACCATGTCTCAAGCCCTCCATAACCACCTCCAAATCTCCAGTTTGGCCAGGACACCCTGTATTAACTTGAGCTTTCCAGAAAGCAGAGAGTTCGGTGGTCAACAGGGCAAGGTCAGTCAGAGGGGCTCTAACTGTACTGTGATCCTGAACACTGCAGCCAGAAGTAGAAAAAGGTAACAAGGTACTGGTCTTCACATCTGAAACATGTTTAAAGGAGCTTAATTATCCTAATCAATAAATCCCAAAAATGGAATATACATTATCAATGGGATGCAAATCAAGGCAGAACATGATGCTGAAGAGCCTTGCATCAATATTTCCATGGCTTCTGGTTGGGATATGTACGTACAGTACATTCAGTAAGTATTCAGAGGCCTTGACTTTTTCCACATTTTGTTACGTTACAGCCTTAATCTAAAATGGATTAAATTGTGGAACCTTCAGTACAGTCGTGTCAAAAGTTGAGAATGACACAAGTATTGGTCTTCACAAAGTTCGCTGCTTCAGTGTTATGATATATTTTTGTCAGATGTTACTATGGTATACTGAAGTATAATTACATTTTTAGTAATTTAGCAGACGCTCA